TACAATATCTTCCAGACGGTAATTGTTGGACACGTTTTAAGGCGCATACACTGGTTTTGATAATATCAAATAATTAATAAGTTTTGTTGTAAAAAAAAGCATAAAAGATACATATTTAAATTTGTATAAATGCAAATGAAAATAATTTTCTAAGCACCAACTGCTTTACAGTTTCGCATCGAAGATAATAAAAAAATTAGTAAATAATATGTACAAGTGTAGTTTATATTTACAAATACAATCAGGCCTTGTTGGTAGTGTGATATCTATGTACGCTTTTATGAAATCCCAATCTTGTTGAGTGTCACCCATGTACATTTTATAGTCAGACTCTGTAATATTATCATTTATAAAACCGTATTTGTGCGAGCTGAGCCATTTTTGACAATTCGCGAACGCCTCTGCTATAATCTGAAAATTACAAGTCGATACAAAGTTTAGTTCCATAAAAAATGAGGAATGGAGGAATGTAAATTTTTAATTTGATTAGTAAAAAAAAATAATAAAATATTTATCACTCGGTTTCCCAATATATAAATTAACCTAAAAATGGTTGTTATTTTTTTTTTTTAATGAATTAGAAAATATTCTAATTGTTATAGTAAAAATGTCCAGATCATGTCGCATTAATTATTATAAGCTTTGCAGTTGTATTACCCAAACTAAAAAATAAAAATAAATTTTAAATAAGCTGTTGAAAAAAAAACTATTGTTATTATAAGCTATAATGTTTTAGCTACCAAATCAATAAATAATACATAAATTAATCTGGACATTACTTGTAAAGAGTGATAAAACTTAATATTTAGTAATTTACAAAGTAGTAAAATTTTGCAATAATTGCGCTAAAAAATGTTTTAACACTTAATATGTTAAATGAATTTAACTCGAATGATTAAGTTACGATTCTAACTTTAATCTAATAATAGAATATAAAAACCATTTTTTAACAGTATTGAAAAAATTATTTTGATTAAAAGTATTTATGTCAAGAATTTTATTTGTAGTAGTTTCCTAGATGAGAATGTCTATTGTCTATTTAGGAAAACTTTTCCCAATATAATATTATAAATGATTCAGAACAATATTGACAAAAATCTAATAATTTAAAAATAATAGTATAAATTACCGTATCATTCTTCTGTTCGGCTTCAGTTTTCATTTCGAGGTCAACTGAATCTGAAGCTTTACGCTTAAGGTTTTTATCCATACAGCTAACCGCAAGGATAAAAAATAGAAACGAAAGAGAGAACTTCAAAAACATTTTGTTAGTCAATAGTATAATACTGAAGTTAAGCTGTGAGTTTGAACAAAACGAATGAATTTTACCGTCTCTGTTTTATAAAGAATTGAAAAAGAAATATTCGTGTAAGCTATTGATTTTTTAGATGTTGCATTATTATTTAAAATTGCACATTTGCCAAAATATGTAAATAAGTACACAAGTACATATATGTTGTATGAAAACCGTACAAACACATTGCGGCTTGTACGAAGAGGTGAACTTAAACCCTGTCGTAAAAAGTGAACTCGAATTCAAATTCAATTCTTTTAACATACATATACAATTTTATTAATAAAATAACATATAGCGAGCTGCCCATTAATTTGGAGTTGCCAATACAACACAGCATACTACTCAAATTGAAAGGCATATTTTTTCTGGGGTTTGTTAATATTATTTAAAAATTCTTAAACGTATTACTTAATATAAAGTCAAAGCTAGACTAACTTAAAGTCTCTCGTAAAAAGTTGAAATACATTACCAAATGGGGTTGTGATAGAAAGAAAAAGAAATAAAAAGGAATGAAAGACCTAAAGGGGGGTGTGTAGTACCTAAGTTATGTATTTCAATGATGGTTAATTGAGTATATTTCTATAACTTTAACTGTAACTATAACGTACATATTATTATTACAATTGTTCGTTCACTTGTATCAAAGAGTGATAAAACCTAATATTTAGTAATTTACAAAGCTGTAAAATTTTACAATATTTTGGCTAAAAAAAGTTTTGACTGATTTATAATCAACGCACAGTCTAAACTATGATAGCTAGCCACTTGAAATTTTCAGAGTATGTTTGTACATATAGGCGTGCAACAGGAAAGGATTTTGAATAATTTTTATTTTAAGGGGTTGAAATGGGCAAAAAACAAAATTTAAGTAGCTGAATGGCCATTATGGCAAACTTACTCCCGGACAACGCCGGGTCGGGACAGCTTGTCTAATACAAGAAAATAAAAACCATTTTTTAACAAACAATAATCAAAAAATTATTTTGATTACAAATATTTATGACAAGAATTTTATTTGTAGTAGTTTCCTAGATAAGAATGTCCATTTAGGAAATCAATATATAATTGTAACAATATCACATAACTTTGGTTAACAGTTATATTATTCCATTTTTTGGGGGGCCATTGAGGCCATTAGAATTAGAACGGGGTGAAGTTAAACTAATTGTCAACAAGGACACAAAAACACAGTTCGAGGGAATCAAATGAAAAGGCTACAGGAATTTTTAACTTTCACGACACTATAAATCTACACAAAAATAATAACAATTCAGTGTATCTAAATTCAAAAATTACAAACTGATTATATAAAAAAATAGAATTATAATAAAATATATAAAAATAAAAGAATATAACTAAATCGTTTTTCATAGTACTATATTTTAGGTTTTTTTTATTTTAAAATAACATTTACAATCTGTACATACAAAATATACAATAAGATAATATGCTAACAATGTAATAAATAACTTGTAGACTATGAGTAGGGAAGCTATCCAGTGATAGGACCCTAATATTTTAGTTATGTAGAATTATGTAGAATATGATATTATGGACATTTTTATCGTTTACGATGATGTACCGGGTGATTGGTTAACTATGGACCACTCAATATCTTAGAAGATATAAGACTTTTTTAATTATTTTTTTTTTGTACTATTATAGTTATTAGGTGGAACAAATTTAATGTATTTTTCAAAATTTTAACACCATCTCTTTGCGTTAAAACCATATCAACTTTAGATTTTTAAACGGTAACCCCCAATTTTTTTTTGATGATCGTGTTTATTTTTTTTAAATTTAATTATAGGCGTAAAAACTAGCTAACTCAGACAAGTACTTTTAAAGTTATAGCTTAGTACTACAATATTATAATATTAGCTTATATGAGATGCTTTTATAAGTTTTACAGCTAAAGAAAAAAATCGTTTATCGCCGGATCTCACGTTTCACAAAATAAGATTGATTAACGATAGGGTTGTAGATTAAAGGTAATAGTTGACGGTCGTCGGTCACAATGAATTAATAATAAATCTATAATAATATTATATGGGTAATGTCTTCTTATCTGTTTTTTCTGTAGTGTTCCTAGCGGTGCGGTGTACCTGTACGTATTGAATATTAGGCATTAGCTGCTGTTAACAAACAATATTATGAGCCCTAGTATTTACTAGGGCTCATAATTTCAACCATAGGTTACCGTAGTCTAATTACGGTCTTATATAGAGTATATACCGTGGTTCTACCAAAACGATTCGTTACTAGTGTAGATTAATATCAACACAGAACAAATTATTATAAAAATACGACTACTTGAAAACTAATCAAAAAGTTCATTATTCTAATTTTTCAATTATTATGGTTATTTAGCGTCTTGGTTTTTACTTTAAATATTTAGCGTCTTGGTCTTAATAAGTGTTACTTGTACTGGTGTCTTAACTAGTCAAATTATTAATTCTATTAGTGAAAATATTTTTAAAAAAACTTTAATAAATAACATTCAATTTTTTGTTTTTTTAGTATAATATTGTATTACATACAGTTAATAGATAATATGTACAGAAACTATTTTAGCATTTGTTCGAACTGGTTAATGATAGGTACATAAGATGTCAAACAACATCTTTATAAGGCATCTATTGTGTTTATTAAAATGTTTAGATAACAAAGGATTCCATAAGTCATACGTTCATCCAATACTTGTGCACTAAAATAAATTTTCATTTTTATAATTTAAAGATGTAACGCGTCAATTTTAACTATTTCTAGTTCAGTATTTTTAATTATTAAAAGCTGTATTTATTTATTAACTCTTTATTATATTACCACCTTAATCCTATACTGTACATATTTCATAGTATTGACTATTCTTACTTATTTTAATGTGTTCATATGAACAGTAAAAGTATGTTTTTTATTTAATAAATTATTGTTTTTTTTGTTGTACGAGGTATAAACAAAAATTTAAAGTGACAATGAAAAAGTAAAATTTTTTTTGTCTTTGTAAGGCTTTTTAAACAGTCATAAGCTTAAAATTCAATAATAATATTACTAACAAACATTTTAATACTATATTATGTTATGTTTATTATGATAGTAGTAAAATAAAAAAACAAGTAACAAGATAAATAATACGCTTATAAGATACGAATAAACATTTTTATTTGCTAAATCATATTGAAAAACTAAGACTAAAAAAAATTAACAAATCTATAATTAACTTGTAAATAATAGAGGTACAACATATTGCTGTATACAGTGATGTATTTATAGGAAGTTACCTAGGACGGTAAAGTTTGCTTGATGATTTCCCACTAGAAGAAATCCATCTCCATTTACATATTTAAGTTAAAAAATATTTATAAGTATATTCATTCAATTTACTTTTTTACACTTAATCCAATAGTTAACATTTTTTTCTTCTTCTATTTTGTGTTTTATAATTTTATTTACTTTATTACTTAAAGAAACTTAATCGTAAACCACTAGAAAGTTGTCAATAAATTCTGTAATAGCTAATGCCAAAACTATGCCATCATGAAAATAATTTCAAGATTTGGATTAAGACAATAACATATTTTAGAAATATTAACATTCTCAGCAGCATTTTAGATTAAATTAATATTAAATAAAGAATTCATCATTAATAATTAATAAATAATGTATAATAATTATAGATATGTTAAGTATATGTGTGTTTAAATACTTAGAGTTTAAAAACTTTATGTAACTTTTAAAATGATAAAGTACTTTTAAATTATTTTATTGAATTACATTTTTAGCTGAATAACTAAATATATATAGTTGTCTAATATTTGATTTGAACTTGTGAATCCATCTTATTCTTCTTACTGACTTAATGGAAAACCGTTATCTGCAATAGTGTGCCACAGTAACTAAAAAATAATAATAATAATAATAAATTGTTAGAGATGAATTCATAGAAATTAACTAAATTATTGCAAACTGATGATCTTATATATTTTACCTTAAAATAAAACACCTATAAATTTACTGAAAATTGAATACCACAACATTCGACAATGTATTGATGGAATTGGTTTAGACTGATTGACTACAATAATATAATTCACCAAATTTAACGTTGGTAGTAGTGTAGTTGTAGACAATAACAAATATCAATTTAAGTTGAGATAGCCTATATTAATATTGAACATACTGAAACATATAATTTAAAAAATTAAATAAGTTTCTTAGATACTTAAATAATTATATGGTTAAGCAACAAATATCAGTATACACATATATTTTTTATAATTATACAAGTATGATATTTTTTAAGTTAAACGTTAATTTTTAAGTAACGCATTTTAATTAAACATATTAAGTATGATGAACATAAGTAATCCAAAAAAACTTATTATGTAAAAACATTTTATATGTTCATGAATAATAAAAAACGATTAATTATATTTTTCTAATAAAAAAATGTACTTATACAATACACCTATATTAATATATACATTATCTTACCTATTATTGATTCAGTAAATGATGATTGAAGATTCAATTTTTTCATAAAAATTTTTATATTTTTTCTTTGTATTCAGATACCAATATGGTTAAACACAAAACTACACATTTATAAGTTTCTCAGAACAAAGACATAATACTGTAAAAATAAAAGTTTTAATTAAAATATCATCAAGCATAATACAAATTACTCTATTTATTTTAAATAACATATTATTATTATAAGTACCTTTAATTTTGATATTTGATGTGCATACATTTTATAAGTAAGGTTTTAGGTTTTATAGACTTGTCACTTGAGCAAAACTCCATCTTGGTATTCACATTGATTATGGATATTTAATACCAATGTTATTATTCTAAACACAATAAATGTTGACAAGTTCATAGAACTAGTAAGTTATGATACTATATTATTATAATATACTATGAAATTAAGACGTACAAATCGCATGAATAAACAAAATGTGTCAATTAACCAAAACAAATAATTGCTAAATGCTGGAAAAATATACACAAGGTATTGATAACAAATTAAACATACCTACTATTTTACAAAATAAATGTAAAAGTGTGTAGTGGTGGTATATTTGTCAGTCGATATAGCGGTTATCATTATTATTTACTATCGGTGAATTATTTACCTAAAGTAAATAGTGTTTGGTACGGTTATGATTTTTAAACGCTACTATAGATATTGTCAAAGTTAATTGCCAATAAATAATAACAGAGAGCAGTCAAGTGTCACCTTAATATGTTAGCGTCTCCAAGATATTTAATTTATTTTTTACACTCCCTTTAATTTTAAAACTCTGTAGCTCGTTAACTACTCAATTGATTTACCTAGTTTTTACACCTAAAATTAAATTTAAAAAAAATAAACACGATCATCAAAAAAAAATTGGGGGTTACCATTTAAAAATCTAAAGTTGATATGGTTTTAACGCATAAGGGATGGTGTTAAAATTTTGAAAAATACATTAAATTTGTCCCACCTTATAACTATAATAGTACAAAAAAAAATAAAAAAAGTCTAATATCTTCTAAGATATTGAGTGGTCCATAGTTAAGCAATCACCCGGTATAGAATACAAAGTTTAATTAATTAATCCCGCGACAGCAAAAAAAAAAATATAGACTAATTGCTTAAATCACTTAAATTTCATTAAAATAGGTAAGTGTATCGAAATTGAATGTTGAATTTTCCTAAAATAAACAAGGAATAATAAAGGCACCCGACCACCAAGACATCTAATTTTGTCATTCAGTAATGTTTAAAAAAAAATTAAAGTATTTTAATTTTTAAATATTTTCACAACGCTGTTTTTTTAAGTTAAAAATTGTAACATTTATTACAGCATATTTTATACGATGTCTGTGGTAATGTAATTGACAATCAAATATCAATCAAAGTTTACAGTATTAGATGCTTTATTTTTAGACAATTGTTTCTCGCTAATGTTACAACCAAGAGGGATTTACTCATATAAATGTATGTACAACAATGGTTATTTTATTTAAAAATAAATTTTTGGTATCAGATAGATCGGCCAGTCGCTTATAAAATGCAGCCAGTACGGAAAATATAATAGAAAATCGCATGAATATAATAGCATATAAAAAACTTAGAAACTTAGAACTCAAGCGATTGGTTTTTTGTTTTTCTAGTTAAAGGTCTACCCACCGTGTGCACAGGTGTAGACTGAATGTGCACCTGTGCACACGGGCTTTCTTATTATTTTCACTTACTGTGGCAGTGGTTTGCAAATTTTAAGTTTAGAGAAAAGTGTATACACGAATAAAATATTATACATCGAAAGATTTTTATCAAGTTATTCAGTTACTGTTTGTGTCCACCTTGGCTAAATGAAAACATAAAATTGCTTTATTTTCAATTAACTAAGACTCGTTTTAGTACTTGAGTTGAAAAGCACAAGTTTCAAAGTTTAAAACGAAAAAAAATATATTTGATTGAAAATAGGTCACCCCACGCATGTTTAATACAGTAAACTATACGAATACAATAAACATAAACATTAAGCAACGTTAAGAATTGTTATGCGAAAATTGTCAGTTTGAAATTTGAGGCCACATAAAAGCGATTTATAGCAGGTTTTTTATTTTAAACATTTTAGAAATTCAGTTAAGTTTTGTACCTGACTTTCACTTTTCTAGTTGTCTTTTAGTATTATACAGGTATTTCACAGAAGATAAACAAGAAAATGATTTGGAAAATTATACTTGTGTTATCCTGGTTTAACGTTTTAGTGAACGCCGGGGGATGTCTTGAACCAATGTCAAGTTCTTCAAGACAGGTAAATATAATCGAGAAATGTATTTTAAAATATTTATTTTTGGTAAGTACAAAATATATTTTATTTTTATTATAACTCCACAAAATATTTTGCGTTCTTTGGATAAAAAATTAAAATAATTTTGAGCGTTGATGTTAATTTTGGTAATCTAGGTTAAGTTTGTAAAAAAACAAAATTGTAAAAAACTAAAACAAAATTTAAAGTTCGAATTTTAGCGGTAAATCGGTTAAAAACCCTAAAATTCTCCAAAAAATGCAAAATATTTATTTAATCTTATTCAAAAATACATACGGTGGTTTTTTCCCAAAGTAAGTGCGAGTGCAGTGTTTTAGCAGCTTCGTTAACAGAATACTATCTATAAAAAAAAGTTGAAAATGTTTAATTAATACTCGTATGGTTTTTTTTCAAATTTAAAGGGCAAAGAAGTGCCCTTTTTTATCTTTTACCCAGTGGCACATCGTGCCATGGAGCACTTGTGAATTGCACCACCTATTATAGTATAGTTACCATCTTAATTAACAATTTGTGTATTGTTTAGCAGTGATATCTGCTGGTATTTAGGTCTAGGCATACCTATTTTTAATCCGAGCTATCACTTTCAGTAGTAAATAATTCCTGTAAACCTGTGACTACCCCGTTCCCACTAGACCCTGACCCCACTGTGCCTCAATTTGTTTTGTACTTATTTTAAAATACATATTAGTACAAAAACGACAAAGTATTGTTTACAAAAATTATCTACCTTTTATAAGCTGAGCTTGTGGTGAAGGCAAAGAATTAAACAATTATGAGTTATATTATTACATTATTAATTACTAACTAAAATATACAGATCAAAATAGAGAAGAGAAAAAAAAATATTTCTGTTGTTACATAGATTAAGTTATAAAAAAACTAAAAACACTACAATGCTACATTGTAGGTAAAGTCGTGAGAGTAGTTTCGGAGCTTAAGATCTAAAAAAATAGACTGAAGGTAATTTTAGAATCATTCTCTAACATATTATGCAATTTTTTCAAAAATTCGTATTCAAACTATTAGTTTATTAAGGAAAAACAATAAAAGTAGAAAATTACACTTTAATTGAAATTATTCTCATAGTTCCTACAATCCTAAGAATTATATCGCTTTCAGTTGTAATAATTCATATTGACCTCTACCTCCCCCCCCTTAATATGATCCGTCTCCACATGCACCAACTCTATTGTAATGACATATTTTTTGTTACAGACGGCCGAGGAGGACAAATTGGAAAATACTGTAATTATTTTTTTTGTTTTTAAGTACATTAAATCAACAAAATAGTAGGTACTAAATTAACACATTTTTAATTAACACTGAATAACATTTTAAAGATATGCTTACATATATTTTTTCTTAAATTAATACATACTTATAACTTCCTTCTTCTTCTTCTTCAGCTTAACAGTCCATGAAGAACCTGAGCTGCCACAAGCGTCTCTAAATTTCCCTGTTGATTGCTAATTCAACTAATTTGCCACCTTCACTTGATGACTATGACATATTTCTCCTATCACCTTTTCAAGACCTAAATTAAACATGGGATAAGGCATCTCCCTGTCGTAAACCCGAGTTTACTTCAAAGGCTGATGACAATTCTCCCAGAAACTTCACTTTAAATTCTGTTTTATTATTGCACAGTTTTACCATGTTAACTTATTTTTCGGTATCCCGAAGTAGGTCATAGTGTTCCATAACTCTTCACTATTTATTGACGAATTCGTAACGTTTCTCCATTAGTTGACCTTCCTTTTCTTAAGCCACATTGGTACCATCCTATAATCTAGTCAGCATATGGAGTTATCCTCTCTAAAATAATTGTAGATAATATTCTATAGCATGTGTCTAATAAAGAAATTGCTCAATAGTTTTTTATATCCTGTATGCATCCCTTTTCAAACACATGGCATAATATCAACGTATTCCATTCTTCTAGTATCTTTTTTAATAAGATTGATCATTTTCCACATTTCGATTTTTAATGCTTCTCCATTATTCTTCAATAGTTCTGCTACTACATTGCTTTCTCCTGGAGCTTTATTATTCTTTAGTTTATTTATACTCCTGTTGACTTCAAGTTTCGAGGGATGGCTCAGCCGTAGTATATTGCATGTAGGTCTCATCAGATGGCCCGAAAGCTATTTGATTAAGCAACATTTTATAGTAGTTTTTGGACTCTTCTGCTACTTCCGTTTTATTTGTTACTAAGTCTCTTGTCTGACTTCTCACCATCCTAGTTTATTGTTTAAATCCTTGTTTGATTTCTCCACTACTCTAAGTACCAATTTTGATGCCAGTTTCCGTTTCCAGTTCTGTTCCAATCCCGAGGCTTGTTTTGTGGTTTCTTAACGTTGTTTTGTTTTACGATGTAGAGTTGTTAGCCCTACGATCAACTTCCCATACCCTGGGAAGAAGAGAGCTCGGGTTCGCTAAAAACCCGAAGACACTAGTTGTCCCCCCTGAGGGGCTTAACTTATAATTTTACTAAATGTTTAATTGCAAAACCACAGGGTGATTTTTTTATCAGGGGCCACTTAATATCTCATAGGGTTTAATAAGAAATTTCATTTTTTTTTTAATGTTGTTTTTATATATGTGATCTCAACTTTACACAATTTTGTTTTTGTTTTTACCTAAGATAATATACCCGGCTCCGTATGAAAGAAGTGTAGATTGGATAAATTCACTACAACGAATAACCGATATAGAATGGTGGAATTCTTTGTCACTTAATCCTAGCATCGGGGAAAAAGTAATTTTAATATAAATCACATTATTCAAAAACATGATTAACCGTTTTTATTTTTAAAGGCATCTATCAGGAAAGCATTGAAAAAATGTGGATGTCCACCTGATGATTTGGAATTTCTTCTTGAGAACAGCCGGTTAAATAAGTGGCCTATTCAATTAAAAACAATTTCTGTACCTTACTATAACGCAAGTAGTATGAGTAAACTGAACTGTAGACGGATTCCAGATGTAACAGCAGTAATCGCTGCTCCTTCTGATAACCGACCGAAGATTTTCACACATGGTTCGCCAGGAATTTTATTCATTTTAAGAAGCCTCTAAGGAAAAGCGGATTCTTATAAAAATCGGCAAGGCAGAATTTAATTTCACTGGCTCAAAAAACTATAAATTAAAAATATATATATATATATATATATACTGGTAGTGAAAAAATCTAAATATTTTAAAGAATAATTCAATTTTAGTTGATTTATACATGATTTTGTAAACCTAATTTGTTTACATACCTATTACATAAAGCATACTACTACTAATATCTAAAACTTTTATATGTTTTTGATAACGGAATTAAATAAAATGAGTGTATTCAGAATTTAGAATGTTCTAAAATAATTGTTTTTTTTTTATAACGTGGCGATTGATTTGCTCTCACATTGTTCAGATCTCTATACCAATTGGTAAAAAGTAGTTGTATTTTGTTAAATACAAGTGTATAAAATAAATTGAGGTGAGGTGCAGTATTTACAAATTAGCATCAAAGCGTTTATTTGAAAGTGATTTTATCACATAACACATTTATTAATAATAATTCCTATAAACCTGTGACTCCCCCGCCACCACTGTACTGGCTTTTTTTACTTAAAATTACAGCATTCTGTAACTTTTTCAAAAATGGTCAAATTAGTTCCAAATTGGACGAAATATGTTTTACTTTATCACTTTCAAAATGTCTACAGTCCTATGTACTACTCCGTTTTAATGTGCTCTGTCCCTACTATGCTTCGACCCCACTGTACTGCGTTTTCTTTTAATATTGATAAAATCGCAAATATAGTAATTTGTTTAATCATTAAACTGACATTTTTAAATAAAAATCGGCTTCTTACATAACATATCAAATAAGCCAAAGTACTAGATCTCTTTACAGAATTGAGAAATTATTGGACCGCATCCTATGTAGTCGACATTTAGTCTAACTTTTTGGTCTAAAATAAACCAAACTGGCTGTTACTCATAAAAAAAAAATATTTAAATTAAAAATAATATCTTTAGGCTTATACAATATTATATAAACCGGTAAATTAATTGACATGGTCGACATTTAATAAATTCACTTTGTTCCTTAATATTGCCTATGCAAAACTCTTTACAAATAGACTGCATGCAATCTCCTCAAGGGGTTAATTTGTATAAGCTTTGTGGTTTTATTTTTAATTAAAATTATTTTGTCTATGAGTAAAAACCATTTTAGTTAATATAACATACATTTTTTGTTCCATCGCACAGGCTGAACCAGTGATCCGAAAAGTAATCTGAAAACAGATTTGAATTCGTCTTGAAATTTACTTATGATCGGTCACAGTACTTTTTTGATATCTTATTCCTACTATGTATAAAACACGTTTGAACATTTTATAAAATTTCAACATTTTAAAATAAAAACCGACCAGATTCTTCTTTTGTATGACCAATGACTTGGTATTTTTAGAAAACGATTCTGACGGTTTTATAATAACTTAACGACCAATAATAGATAGCAGTGAGACAGAAGCAGAATAAAACTTAATTAACAATAAATATCAAAGTACAATATTATGTATATTTCTTATGTGGACTCTTTCAACCAACGAGCTAAAGGAACGATTTATTATATTTGTACTATTTTCTTGCACGGTAGTACTGTACATTTACAAAAGTTTTATTGACTACCTATTTTGTACCATCGTCGAAGAGTTTAGAATGATTTTATTTGGTATTACACATCCCTAGAGACATATTGTAACTACATTGCATTAGGGTTTAAAACATAATTATGAGTTTACAATTAGCATTTTTATTTTTAACTAGAATCCTCTCATTGTTCGGCCAACGATTGTATAGGTATGATTTTCTTACACTGGAAAAGCCATTAGGATATGATGTGAACAGAAAGGGGGGGGGGGTGGAGTTAAGAATGTAGGAAGAGAGAGTAGCAAAATTGTAAAGAGGATGGGGATAATCCCATATAGTAGGTGCTCGTGTAAGGTACAGTACTACGATGAGGAATTAAGAAAAATGTGCTTAGCTGTGGTTATAACACTAGACTAGATTAAATGATTGAAGCCATCGAATAACAGCTATTCCACGCGACTTAAAAAAGGTGCCGATCTTAATTTTCCAGTAATACATAAATCTTTTGATAATAAGATGGTAGTGTAAATGATGGAATTAAATTATGTAAATTGTTAAACATTAATCTCGACTCCTTTAGTCATCTAGCACATCGGCGCGGGTGTTACCCTAAGTTAAAAAATAACCAAAGATTTAAAAGTATGATTTTTTATGAAAGTATTTTCTATTGTATTGTATAAAACAACTTGTATAAAAAATGAAATCAAACGTAGAGTTTTGGTGTTTAAAACATAATTTTCAAAATTAACGTTTACTTTTCAGGTGTGGCTACGATAAACCAGCGGAAGAAAGTTATTAAATAGAATTTAGTTGTTGGTTTGAGAAAAAAAAATCATTTAAAATAAATTTAATTTTAATATGTTAAAAAGTACATACAAAATTAGGGTCGACTTTTGTATTGGATATTTTTGCGTTCGTGCTTTTGATTAAAAACTATTGTTTTAGCGGGGTTTCCCAATTTTAAAAATGAAAAAAGTATAGTACTGTATACTATAATGTATGACAATAGATAACTGATATTCTTCTACACGTTTAAGGTACATATTAAAACCCAGAGGTCCATAATCTTGGTATTCGATTGCTTGGTATTCTGTAAAAAATATGTAACGCTGTTGCAGTATACCATTTATAATCTATTTTCTGTAAAAAAAAACTTACAAATTAAAGACAGCGATATGATTGAATGGTTTTTTGTACATTAAATATACTTTTTTACTTATTTATATAGTTGAAAACGATCGAATTCTAGAAGAAGTGAAAACTGAAGCTAGGGTAATTTATACTGTTTTTTTTAAACTATTGTGTTCTTGTCAATTGAGAGCTGAATTATTTAAAATATAAAGGTTAAAGTATTCCTAAACAGCCATTCTTACTATTATTGCGAAATATTATTTTTGCTTGCAAATAAAATTCGTGTCATAACTATTTATAATCAAAATACATTTTCATATTGTTTGTTTAAAAAATGTTTTCATAATGTTATATTAGATTAAAGTTAGAATCGTAAATTAATAATTTGAGTTAAATTCATTCAATAATATAACAAATGTTTTACTTATAACTTTTTATTAGCCCATTTGTAAATTACTAAATATTAAGTTCTGTCACTCTTTGATTTAATAATTAATTATTGGTATCTGTAAATCCGGACGCAATATCTTATGTATGTATATTTAACATTTCATTATCTTTTCAAATTGAAAATAATGTACTAAAAATGTTGACTGGTCGATAACCAGTTTTGAACAATTATTTTTTAAGTTATAAGTAGTTTAAAAGTTAGGATAGGAGGGGAAATGCGCAAAGTAAAAAAAAATACTACATTTCACCTTTCCTCCTGCCCTGAACTTGAAACTTCAATAACTTCAAAAATAGTTATCTAAAACTAGTTATCGACTAGTTAAAATGTTATTTTCAGATTATAGTGGAATCGTTCAATGATTGTACACAACAGGTCAGCCACGGCAAAAATTACATAGTTGACAGTCTTACAGTGTATCAATTTTGCATGTACATGTACATGGGTGTCGGTGAACCCACAAAAGATTTTGGTATCGTGCAACTATACTTACAGAATCACGCTGACATATCAACGGAAAAACCAAGTAAACAATAAACTACACACGTTACATATTATTAAATAATATTTTTGTTATCTTCGATGCGAAACTGTAAAAGCAGTTGGTTTTAATGAAATTATTTGCATTCACATTTATATAAATTAAAATATTTATATTTTGTTCTTTTTTAACAAACCAAACTTATTAACTATTTGATGTTATCAAACAGTGTATGAGTCTTAAAAGTGTTTAACAATTTCCAAAACTGTGGTGACAACTACAGCACATCATCAGTACATCATGCCCTTATAATAAAATGTAATCAAATTTTTGTTTTGTACATCTGTTTTAGATTTCATAAATTTAGAAGTATCGATATACAACTTTTTAAAAACCATTGTAAGGAATATGGGTTACCCCTTCCACAATGTGCTGAACAAAGAAAAGGCGCAAAGCTTCACGCGAACGAAGCTTCATGTTCAGCTGATAAAGTAATTCATACTATTGTTTTAAACCTATCAGAGTATTAGGTATTTGTCAATATTATGCTGAATTATTTATAATATAAAGAATAAAGTTTTCCTACATTTACTTTGAAACTTTTATTATTTCAGCTTAAAGACTTACAAATAAATGAGAGAACTAACGATCAGGTAGTTCATACTATTATTTTAAAAATTATTAAGTTTTGTCAATATTTTTCTGAATTATTATTTATAATATAAAGGTTAAATATTTCTAAATTGTAATTATGATCTAGGAAACTATTAATATTTTACTAAAAAGTCTTTAGTAAAATATTGCTCAGCTGGAGCTGTTAGAATCGTAACTTAATCATTTGAGTTAAATTAATTTAATATACCAAATGTTTTACTTAAAACTCTTTATGTCCAATAAATTAAAATGTATTAATTTGGTTACTAAAACGTTAAAGCCTTTAGTAAAAATGTATTTTTGTTTTCAAAAGCTAAAGTATAGCATAGCAATCAACAAAATAATGTTTATATTCATTTTTATTTTTTAGTTTGTGTAAAAAACAATCAAGCTTGTAATAATGCGTAATGTTTTTTATAATTGGATTTTTATGGAATTGAACTTTTTATTGATAAACAATTTCCAGATTATAAAAGATGCGTTTAATGATTGTATGCAATGGCTCAGGAAATACTACCATTCCTCATCTACGAGTAATACTATGTCAGAGTATAACTTCTACATGTACATGGGTGGAGATGAAGTTCCAAGAAACTATGAAATCGTGTATGGGTACTTACTAAAAGACCACTTGATTAAAAAAAGCACGACCAAAGAATGTAAATATTTACTATAAACATTACATACCATTTAATAATATTTTTTTTATCTTTGATGCTAAACTGTAAAGCAGTTGGCTATAAGGAAATTGTTTTCATTCACATTTATATAAATTAAAATTATTGTCGTTTGTTATTTTTTAACAACACAACTTATTAACAATTAGATGTTATCAAACAGTGTATGTGTATAAAAAAAACCGCCCGGAACATGTAAAGTTACCAAAAAAATATTCTATACTATTAAAATATACTCAATAAAGTAAAATGAAAATAAATTTAACACCCCATATTCTGGAAACAAATTTAGACAAATAAAAACACACCATTACAAAATCAATACCTTTTCAGCTGCACATCGAAGCTAAAATAAATTGTTTCACCGACAACTGAGTTGACAACTGCACCACATCGTGCCTTTGTAATAACATATATTATTTATATTTAAATTCAACATTTTTGTTTTGTTTATTCGTTTTAGGTTGGATAGATTCAAAATCATTTGGTGAACTCTTTACACACGTTTGCGGCGAATATCAGATATCCATCGAAGAATGTGCTAGAAGAAGGAAAGAAGAAACACAAGTACAGATAGTAATACATAATTTGTTACGGTCTCGTCGTAGACTGCCTTATAATGACAGATAAAAAACATTTATCGAGATATTGTATAAAACAATAAATAAATTGATTTACCGTGAATTATTATCGTATTCGAAATTGTATTATTTAACGTACCTACCTATTTAATACATATTTTCCTATTGGCCCAAGTACAATCTAAGTTGTAATACCTACATGAGCAGAAAAATATTGTGCACTTGTATCGTTCAAATAATAAAATATTTTCATGTTAAACTAAATAAAAATATGAAGGTTACCTGTGTACGAATTTACAAAGCGTTGTTTTTAATAGAAAATAGACAGGTGTACAGGCCTCTTAACGATGTCAAGGTGGATTTTGTTCGGTTACTTCAAATGCGGCCTATTTATGAATTCTGATAGCTCAGAGAATTAGAAGTAAATGTAAAATGAACTTTAAAAGTACAAAACGATATATATATATATATATATATATATATATATATGATATATAGTAAAGAAATTAATATTTAAACCTTTTAAAGGTACTTATTTTTTATAAATAAACCACAATTAAAAAGATGAATAGTCTAAACGGCATAAGACAACTACTTTTATACAATTTTACAATTGATGTTGTGTGTATATATATACTGATTGTTGTTTTAAAAACAAAATTTTATAATTATATTTGTTTATAACTTAAATATATCATAGGTAAAACTAAACAAAAAAATCCAGTTATGTTTTTATTTAAATGGAGTTTAAATATCAATTTTAAATAATTTTTACTCAAATTAATTTTGTACTTAAACAAATGGTATTTTTTTTATTTTATAAGTAGTAGTAGAATACCTACATATTGAGTATTAAAAAATAAATACCAAGTTACTTATTATCATGTGGATGTGGACAACTGTTGACAGTGCAGTTGAATCAGGGTGTTAAAAAAATCGTAAATTATGTCATAGCTCCACCCTAGTAATAAAATAAATGTATAAATCAAAATAGGAAACTGTAGAAAAAGTTTGGAACCGTTCCTTATCATAGGCTGAGTGCGTGTGTGAATCAGTGATAGAAACTCTTATAAATATTATTATAATATAAAGCTGTGTGATTTTGTATTTTATACCGGACAAATTATTATAAACAAACAAAATAATTCTGAACTTTAGACACAAGAGGGCAAATGGTACAAAATATGATGGATAATATTATGTTAAGTTAATTTCCCTTCTGGCAAAATTATTGCCTCCAACACAGGGTTATCAACTCGACAGCTCAGATATAAAACTAAGGATAATACTGTATGTATTTTTTTACAATAAGCTATTATCATTGTTTAAATTTCTATTCATATAAAAAAAAAAAAAAACGTATACACTTTGATAGCTGTAAAGACTAGCATTAACTGTATACATTTAAGGTACTGTACGGTCTGTACCTTAGGTAGTAGGTACAGTCTATAGATCTACTATTTTTATTTTTTCCAGATTTTTATTTTAAAAACTTAGCTAAAGAAATAGCTATTGCTAGTTAGTGGTTTGATGGTTACCAATCTGAGATTTTACCATTCAATATGACAATATCTTGATTGATCTTGTGTGAACTGAGAACCGTGCAATACAAAAGTGCTAATGAGATACTGAAGAAAACGCTCTTTATGGTAGGTAGCTATAAACTATTGTAAAAATTATAAATTCTATTCCATTGAATATATCTTTTGACCCGCTTTGATGGTATTGAAGTGGTGTGTTTTTATTTTGGCCGTTTTAATTATGTTAGCTGTCAAAATAATTTTGTACTGAAGGGATTTGATCGAGACGGTGGTATATAGCCCCTTAAATTGACAAAATGCAACACAATATACGAGGTAACGGATTTCTTATCAACGGTTACGAAGATGATAATTTTTTTAGTGCTTTCTTCACACACATAAGGACATCATAAGGTGTTTAAACTTTACAGCTGATGCCTGTTGATTTTTTTAACATGTAACACATATTATTTTGATTATTAACTAATTAATAATTAATTTGATCATCATAATTTAATCAAATTTCTAGAACTAGGATATTAAAACACCTGTACAATTTCTTGACATAATATTAATTTGTACCTAATATAATTTTATATTATAAATAAAAAACAATATTATTATTTGTATTGCAAAATAGCGTGAGAAGACGATTTTTAAAGTTAGTACCAAATTCAAGTTGAAAATGGTTTTGGAGATTCTTGACTCTTGTAAGGAAGTAATATGTAATTCCAAGGATGTGAAAATCAACGCATCAAAAATTCCAGACTTGGCTGTTAAAGTATTGTATTTACTTGCAAATATTGTCTTTAAGTAATTTATTTTTTAATCTACTGTCTTTTGATTTAAGATTTATGAAAAAATCGAAAAAGGTATCCTGACACCGGATGAGTTTAAAAAGAGTCCGTTACATCCCAAATCCGACGATGAAGTAGCAATAAATTGGATATTTGTTATTGATTCGTTGAACTATTGTTTTTTTGATCCTAACAGCAAACGGCATTGGACTGTAACTTGGAAAAATGAAACACATACAGGCTATTTTGGTTTGTGTGCAGCTATCAACAAAGCTATTGATGTTTGTAAAATCATTTTTATTTTAGCCTTTAACGTTGCTTTTAACAACTATTTTTGTGGATGTTACACTTTTTAGAATGGCATAAATATGACTGATATGCGTACCTGTTTGGAATTATCCAGAGAACAACTCGATGAAATACTTTTAGGGGACGATGGATCCACGTTACCACTATTGCAAGAAAGATATCAATGTTTGCAACAGTCGGCAGATATTTTATTAAAAAAATATAAAGGTGATAAAACAACCATTTTCGTTTCTTACATTTTTTTTAAACTCGGGTATTGAACATGTATTTTTGAGTTTATGGCTTCTCAATTGTAATATTGTATTCGTTTAGTCGCTTTGAGAAAACTTAAACCCAGTTTCATGAACTCCATCATTGTATACTTAAAAACTTACCCTTAGTATTACTGTAAAATTGTATTTATTAATTAGAACCATTTGTTTTAATGGCATTAACTATTCCAAGCCACGATTTAAATGTAGGTACATTTAAATAATTTTTCTACTCGGGTCTTATTCATAATTTCAGGTAGTTTTTTAAATTGTATAATAGAAGCCAATAATTCAGCACAAAAATTGTTACTGTTGATATCAGAAAATTTCTCATACTTCCGGGATGAATCATTTTACAACAACAAGAAAGGTATTGTATTTTTTGTTTTTATAATATCTATTGTTCTTCAACCACATCAAAATGTTTTAGTTTTTATTTACAAAAGAGCGCAAATATTAATTGCCGATATTTGGTCATCGTTTGCCGGATGTGGCTATGGAGAATTTCACGATATTGATTCGTTAACCATGTTTGCGGATTATAGGTTTGGATTTTAGAATTACTGAACACGATTTTCTTCAAGACAATAGTAATTCATTTTTAAATAATGTCATACAGGGTTCCACAAGTGCTATTATATTTTGGAGTGTTGGAATATTCAGACAATTTAGTAGAAAACTTAAAAAAAGGTAGGTGTATTAAAATTTGTTTACATTTGATGATGTTAAATTAGTTAAATATTTTAATGAGCACACAATTTTTCTAGGAATATTATTGGATCATGGATCTTTGCAAGAAGTTGAAATAAGAGCTGCTTCTATTGTGGCTGTTGATCAAGTTGTATTTACGGTAAAAGAATTATTGTCGAAAAATAATGTTAAGAAAAAATGTAATGCAGTTATGGTCGATACATATTTATGGGGTTACCGAAGAGAAAACGCCATTACATTAGAAGACACGCCATATCATAAAACATTGAACATTTTTTATTAAAAAAAAATATGTTATTCCAAAAAAAAGAAAATTATTGTTGATTACTTATTCACACAATTGTTGTATCTATTTATAAATAATGTATTGTAGTTTAACATTTAAGTACACCGTATTGGCACAGATTACATTTTCATATTTATATTATATTTTCATAAAATCTGTGATATAGATGATAGTTAATATTTTCCATTACATTTTTATTATAATCCATATTTTATAAATTGTAATTAGACAATTGTACTCTAATATTTTTTTTTATTATAGCTGTGCACAAGAAGGCCAAGTATGAAATTGTGTAAAAAAACTGAAAACTTGTATATATTATTATAGAAACACTGTAAACGTCATTAAAAAAAAATTATTTGCATAATATAGTTTTTTTGAAATGCAGACAGAGGATTAAGTAATATTGGTTATTCATTTATTTTCTTTCTATTAACAATCTACTTAATTCGGTCGTAGGTAGTTATAAAATAAGCATATTATTTGAGCAAGCACTGAGTGTATAACGTCGTGTGTACTTAATCTATGGCTGAAATGTACCATTCGCATAAAAACAAAGAGCTATGTGTACTTGCAAAAATGTATCGTTAGAAAAACTTCATTTAGTTTGCCTAACCAGGTTGGCATTTAAAAATATTGGTTAATTTAAAAACAACTCGGTAATGTCTTAATCTAAATTTTTTTTTTTAATTCTTTCTCATCATGTGTAATTATAGGATTGCTTTGATATCTGAATATCAAAACTGATTTCGGTATGAGAATAAATATTTTAAAGTCGACTTTACAGTGAAAGGTAGGCTTTCGAATAGAACAATTTTTTAAATATATCGGTAGGTTTTTTTTTTTACTCGGTTTGCCGCCAAATTTGAACAGATGCTTCGGTACCGGCAGTGTTGCCGGTCGACGGTCGCTTATGTTGCCAACACTGGTTCTCGCGGCGGCGCGACAACCGCGCTATGTTTAACAATTGCGCCAGCCGCGATTGTTGTCGAATACTACCACAGATTTAGAGTGGCGCGATTATATATGTACAATGCAATACGGCCGTCGACGTACTTGACGGTCGTAGTTGTTGATGTGCCGCCGTTCGCGTTCAAACTTCAAATGCCCATTCCCCTGTCTTGTCTTTGTACCTAGATACAATCCGCTTGATTGCATGTGTGTGTGTGTTTATTGTGTGTGATTTTTTTTTTTTTACCGCAGTCGCTAATTTCCATAGACTATTATTATTATCGAGGAGAAAATATAATAATGTTAGTCCGGTAGATTAGGTGTTGTAATAGCGGCTAATGGTCTGTGTACATTAATTGTTATTATTACTATTATATCCGGTGAAGAAAAATACAATCGAAAAGCCATCGCCGCCGCCGCCGTGTACGTACACCGAATATTCAGTTGGAAACGGCGATCAACAAAATGTCATCTAAACGGGACGACAAAAAACACAGGCATATTTCATCGAAACGACACGAAGAGTAAGTGTGCAAATAATAAACTCCACAACCGTTGGTCCGTTTCGAAATACCCATGTTAACTTCACATAGGTATTGTCATCAATATCGGTCTCTGTAGAACAACCAAGGGTATTCAGTGAGCATCCTTGCTATCATCTGCTACCAGATTCGGCTTTATTTAGTTGACAGTTATTTGAAGTAAATTTTGTTTTATTTCAATGACCGATTCTTTTATAAGGAATCTATATATTTGTCGTACCTGACTATTTTTTTAATAATTTCATGTTTGTCGATCATTACGCCAACAGTTGTTCTATGTCGTCCCATTGGACGCCGGCTACAATAGTCATTACGCAAATAGTCGCAACGTTTTTTTGGACGTATATTTTTTAGCGTTGTAGAAATTTTATTAACCGACAATGATTATGCGGAGTTTTAATTGTGCTAATTTCAATAGCGTAGAATAACTTCAGTGATCAAATCAAAATAATGTGTTACAAAACAAATAGTTGGCATACAACAATGTCAATATGATTACTGATATTAAAACATATTGATCATTGCAAATTCACTTTTCTTAGCCAAGTAAAATATTTCAAGGGCACAGTTTATTTATTTAATTTAAACAGGTGAAAGTCCACAGTAAAGCTTAACGTATACAAATGTATACAATCATTTTTATGTACAACATTTGTTTAAATAACAAAAATATAGAATCTAGTATTTTATTCGGGGAGAACCGAGTAATTATTATTACACTATTATTCATGAGGTATAGAAAATAGCGTTTTCAAACGTATTTGCTGTACACATTATACCACATACGGTATAATTGTTCTATTAATTAGTTAGGTGCTGGAGGGTGACGTGAGACATGAAACGTGGACATTAATTTTAGGTAAAAGCGTGGGACCATCTATGTCGCTGCATAGAAATTTCTGAGTATAAGCTCTCTCAATATTTCTATTATAATATAATATATTTCAATATAAACACCCCTTTAAATACCAATAATTTATTTTATTCTGTACATAATTGAAATAGAATAAAAAAACAAAGAATGTAATTATCCAATTTATTTGGATTGAAATTAAAATGTGCTTTAAATTAAACATTCATTGCTATGTATAACTTGTAATGAATTATGAATATGTTTTATTAAATACTTTATTTTTTATTTGTTAACTAAGTACAAAATTATTATTTAAGAAAATAAAAGTTAACTTAATTCTTGTTTAGTCAGCCGAATCTTCTCTTCATCGCCATTTCTTTATGCACTCAAAACGTTATTTATTTAGCTGTAATAATACAATTACTGAGGTAATTAAAAATTTGTTTGAACTTCTGGTTTTTGTATCAGCTTTGGTAGTGCTCAAAGTGATTTAATAATTGTAATACAAATTATTGTAAATGTGGTTATTACAAATAACTACTATTTGTTTGTATTTATTTTTAAAATCCTTACAATTTTAATAAGATTATGAAGTTAAACATCGCCATACATTTTCCACATTTTTCATGTAATCCATAAATATCACAAACATAGAAATTAGTATATTAGATACGATTCCTTTTTTTAATATTCCCTTCCCATTGTTTAATATAAGACAATACAATATATTTCTCGAGGTTAGCGGCCAATAGTTCATAAATACTTTCTGAATGTTTAATTACACTTTTAAATTATATTAAACATCACCAATGTTCAATTACGCAGTAAAGAAATATTAGGTAGCACCATTGGTAAAAAAATGTACTTTATTTTAAAAGCTATCGGCTAATAGTTATGTTTGCTGAAAACGTTTAAGATGTAGAATTTGTCTACAACACGAACATACCCCCAACCATTTTATGTGACGTAACAAGAAAACTTGGGGAATATCCTACTAACGTCTCGAGATTTTTCTCATATTTGCCTGTATCGCAAACATAATTACCTTACCCTTAATATTATTGAGTTCTATAATGACAAATAAAAATATAATGTAGTTAAATTTGGTCGATAGATGTTTTTAAAAACCGGAGTGTTTTTGTTTATACATCAGTACTAAATACCTAAATTTTATCGGAAAAGAAAAAAATCATTTTAATTTGTTTTATGGACTAACATGTATCTAACAAAATGTGTATTAAAACAATAAATTATTCAAAGTTAAATTATTTAAATATTTGTTAACATACTTTATTTGTTGTGCATTTTATTGTGATTTCTTTTGGAAGTGTGATATTTTTTTTCAATAAATATTATTTTAATTTAGTAATTAATTATAAAGTTTTTTACTTCATTTTAATTAATTAAAACATTTTCTTAATTGTAAGTGAAACTTTCAAGAATTTGACGGTCAATTCAAGTTTTATTTAACATTTTAACAGAAAAAAATGACGAAAACCATTTAATTTAACATCGATGTATTAAACATAAACGCTCCTGGTAAGTTAATTTAAATTAAAGAAAACAAATACTTTTTTGTGGGTTACACTGTAATGGTTAAATTAATTTTATTAATTCATTATTAACTTGTTTTGTGTATTATGTATTATTGTAAGGCTATTGTGACTTCCTGATGAATTAATTTCAGTATTTTTTTTTCTCCCCCTTTTTTTCAATCGTAAATCATAATTAACAAAACAATTTTTTTTTTCCAGAAGTCCAGCTGTTCGTTAACAGCTAATACTTACAGATGATGGTAAAAGCTCATGAGCCATGGAGCATCATGTCTCCAACTAATGCGCCTGCTTTACCTCCGCGCAAGCTATCTCAAACTAATCGGCCTCAGTCAGTCGACTTAGTAACTACCAGACTGCAGAACCCGTTGCAAGAACCTACTTGTATAGAAGAAGCAGAATGGTATTGGGGTGATATCACTAGAGACGAGGTTCAAGAAAAACTTACTGATATGCCAGATGGTACATTTCTACTTCGAAACGCGTCCAACAAGACTGGAGAGTATACACTGACACTGCGAAAAGGAGGCACAAACAAATTAATAAAAATCTACCACAAAAATGGAAAATATGGATTTTCCGAACCGTACAGTTTTTCTTCTATAATTGATCTCGTGAATCATTATCGCAAAGTGTCGTTATCCCAATATAATGCTACGTTGGACGTTAAACTGTTGTACCCTGTATCGAGATTTCAACAAGACGAAGAGTTTGGAACTTGGAAGAGTTTAAACGTAGACGTCGTATGGATGTGTTTAATCGACTTGCTTAGGGAGATTATGAAGAAATCAAAATCCTACGACGATTTGTCAGCTGCATTTCAAACGGCAATGGCAGATATATCCGCTAAACGAGTGGGACTACAACAATATCAAGAGGTTAACAAAATGTTTGATGAGCAGTTAAAAGTCCATGATAAATATCTAAAAAAAGCAGAACGTCATGAAGCTGACGATTTGACAGATAATATTGAGATTGTTAAAAAACGAATAAAGTATTTGCACGAAAACAGAGTTGACCTTGAGGAAAAACTATACAGGTATAGTATTGTATACGTTAAACACTTGGAAATTATTATTACAACTATTGGTTTTTTTATTTCTAGACAAGTTTCCCTTAGTCAGACTTTGGAACGCCAAATGTACCAGTTGAAACAAGATGTAGCAGTGTTGGCTCGTCAAAAAGAAAAGTCTGTCAAATGGCTGTTAACACACGGCGTGTCACTTGATGCCATTAATCGAGTGTTGAACGGAGGCGACTGGTGGACACGCAAGCCAGAAGAAATCGAGCTGCAGCTCAATATTTCTCACTTGGACGAAAATACTTGGTTGCTTCAGTCTTGTTCTCGGGCAGATGCCGAACGTATGCTGACCGGCAAACGCAATGGAACATTTTTAATTCGACCTAGCAGAACTGGTCAATCGGCACTTTCTATTGTTTGTAATGGTGTAGTCAACCATTGTATAGTATACAGAACGCCAAAAGGTTTTGGTTTCGCAGAGCCATATAATATCTATTCGTCTCTAAAAGATCTAGTCCTACATTATTCTCAAACGTCCTTGGAGGAACACAATGATTCTCTGACCACTACTTTAGCATACCCCGTGTTGGCTGAAAATGACAAAAAATAATTAATTAAGTAGTATTACCAAACAGTGAGCATAATATTTATGTATTTTGGTGATGAACATTTTGTGATAATAATTACCTTTTTTTTTTTTTTAAATATTAATTATTTATTAGTGTTAACGAGTTATAAAATTAAGAAGCAATATTTTTCTTATAAGTGTGCATTTATTAAGACATATTATTATTGATGAAATTATATTTTAACTTGTTTGTATAAATAATGCCAACTTGTTTTCTTTTGTGTCCAAAATTTTATTATGTAAAAAAAAAATGTATTTATATATATATGTATGGTTTACATTAAACTATGTTCAAAGAAATTTATTACTTTATACATTTTAACAAAATATTTTTTCGTTAAACTGTGTTTTTTATTTCGTTTTTCATATTATACTACACTGTAAAAGTCTCATTACGAGTATAAAGTACAATAATATAGATTGAATGTACTATAGATACGCAACATAAATTTAACACTTGAATGGAAACGCTATTCTGAAATATAAAAAAAGTTTCAAGTCTATATACATATAGGGGCGTTGTCCAACTATACTATCTATGGTATAATATATGTTATTGTTTATAAGTACTTACTTAATTTCCTGAATATCTATATTACCTTATGTGCTAATTAGGGTGAAATGAGGTAGTTGTAAATGAATTGAGGCAAGTGTGAATGTAATTTGTTGATACGGATATGTCTTACTGCTCGAAGGTTTGATTTTTATAAAAGAAACAGACAATTTATTTGTATAATAATTTAACTGTTAACGTCTTATAACAATTTAAAGCGTTCAATTAAAATAAATAACTGTCAGCTATTTGATTTAAACAACTAAACAACTTGTCTTATTTTCCCACATGGCCCTATCAATTTCTAAGGAATTAATTTTATTGTTTTTTTAACAGCGAAAGAGACAGTCGAGATGATAACAGCAGAAAAGCCAAAGAAGACGGATCGCAAAAACGGTAACTATCATTTTGCTAAAAATCTTCAAATTGTTTGTTTTTGAGTTAAAGTTTTTAGCAAGGCCATAAAGTCATATAATAATATTTACTAAGTTAAGAATGATTGTGAAAATTGATATTTTAAATTTACTTGATTGTATACAGAATGATTTTGTTCAAGAACTTAATTATAACTAAAACATTTTTGATTTCTTTTAAAATGAAATAATTAATAAATAAAAAAAAAAAAATGAATTATATTATCTATTGAAAACAATTTGGAAATAGTATTTTTTATATAATTGACCAATATTCTCTAAATTGTATGTTTTAATCATCAAACCTTGGTTGAATTTAATTGTAGAGACGATAATCCTGAACGTAGAAAGACACACAGGCACAGGGATGCCAAATCACCGGAACGACAACAACGTAGACGTGAACATTCAGATTCAGACGGCGAACATAAGAAAAAACCGAGGTACGACCGTAGGGATAATTCGAGGAACCAAAGTAGTAAATCGGATGCGGACCACGAATGGGGTTCCAAGAACGAATCGGGGCCAAAAAAATCGGCTACGAATAAAAAGGAAGAACCAAATTTCGGTACTACCGGAAAATTGGCTGAAGACACAAACACGTTCAACGGCGTCGTTATAAAATACAGCGAACCGGCCGAGGCCAGGAAGCCTAAACGCCGTTGGCGCTTGTATCCATTCAAAGGGGAAAAACAATTGCCTGTACTTCATATACACAGGCAAAGTGGTTACCTACTGGGCCGTGATCGTAAAGTGGCCGACATTCCCATTGATCATCCTTCGTGTTCCAAACAGCATGCCGCCCTTCAATATAGATTAGTTTCTGCCAAAAAAGACGGTAGGCACATTAGATGCATTCGACCATATATTATCGATTTAGAATCGGCCAACGGTACTTATGTGAACAACAATCGTATAGACCCTAAGAAATATGTAGAGTTGATGGAGAAAGACGTTATCAAGTTTGGATTCAGTTCAAGGGAGTATGTAATCTTGCACGAACACAGTGCAGACTCTGGCGATGACGACAGCCTCGCTGAAGACAATCCAAATGAAGAAGAAGATAATGCCAACAACTGATTTCTTAACTGTTACCTTATATTTGTACTTGTAAATAACACTTGGGGGAAAAACATTAAAACTTAAAAGTTTTTTTTAACTATTGTAAAAAATAGTATTAATATAACAATAACACGAACACAATGAACAATTTCTTTTTGTAGAATCGTACAAGTTTTTTTTTTTTATATAAATGTAAAAATACGTTTACACGAGACCTCAAATAAAATAATATGATTTATAAAACAAAAATTTTATAGTTATAAAATTTCTTTGTTCGAAAAATTAATACTTATAACAAAGGATAATATATTAAATTGTTGTTTACTAAACTTAATAAAAAAAAAAAATCACCACAAGACGATATTTTCTTTTAGTCTGATCGCAATAAAATAAGTCAATTGTGGTGTTCTATAATAAACTTGTCTGCAGTAATGTAAAGAACTTGCTTGATCGTCTCCTGGCAATCGCAATATTCTAACCAAGGTTTTTTCACGGTGTTGTACAACAGTGTGAGGAAGGAATATAAAAACTGTAAGTGTTCTAGACCGTCAGTTTTTCCATCTTTCATTTCTACAATTATCTTGGCCAATTGATACGACTGGTCCATTAATAAACTTTTATCAGTTTTTTTTAAAAATGGATACCTACAACACAAAATGACATTTTTATAACAAACAAATAGGTAGACACAAACACAATGTGCAAATTTATAAATGGAATAATTTACTCGAGATATATTTGAGTGTCTTTCAACACGCTATTAGTAGGCCAATTTTCTACACAAGACTGACAACTGCATTGGAAACAATACTGGTTCTTTAACATTTGTTGTCTAACATCTTTCGGGTGGGTAGCATATACTTTCCCATAGTTATCAAACAACTACAAACACACAAAAAAAATCAAGTGTTTTCGCTTGACCTTTGAGCGCTTGCGTGATGGCATTTTATACTGGCGGTATAAATGCCGCCGTGTAAGCAATGGTGTAACTTTCAAACACACAAGCGCTTGAAGGTCAATTAAAACAGGACAATCTCTATTTAACAAGTAACACTTTTTTGTTATCATTATTTTTACCTGTGAGTTTTTAGAAATGGGTTGAATAGCTCGGAGAACTACTGTGCCGTTATAATTATGCCTCACTACGTTCGGATCGCAGTTGTGGTTTAGCAAACTTAACGTAGGTAACAATAATGAAGCGACTGGCATTTCCTCTGTCATTCCAGGCAGAGTCCACGATTTGTTCGTCGGCGGCTGATCGATTCCATGAGCATTGGAAGCAACTACGCAAATGATATGCACCAGCGACTCGCCAACGACACCGAGCAGACGATCAGGTATTTCGAGTCCGGATAATTTCAAACAGGACACCATAACTGATGCATAACAATGTCTGATGAATAAATCGCTAACCGTTCTTCTAGCTTCATTCCCTTCCAACGAGTATGCAGAACAAAACTGGTCGGACATATACTTGCCAAAACTATTAAAGCCTCTCGTCATCGGATCAGTCGTATCAACTTTTAAAGATTCTACGAGGGCAACATATTTCTCCAGTCCAAGTTTCGTAACAGTCTTCAAGAATATGTACAGCGATAAATATTCCATATGGTCTATACCGGGCCACTCTGTAAAAGTTATAAATATCGGGCATTCGTACTTGTGACCACTTTCAAATGATTTTTGGCGGCACGAGTTGTCACAATATATTACCTGGAATAACAAAAATAAATAATCATGAATAAAACAAATGGGTTTATTACAGATATAGTTTGTTTCAAAACCGTTCGTTTAATTATTACATTAAAATTTACCAAGCTAAAATAGATATTCTTACCGATGTACATTTGGTACATGGTACACCCGTTAAGCATCTTTTGAAACAGTATCGGCAATTATGTAAATGTGATTCACTTCTCAGAACACCGGCATAAGGTTTTTCAATTGCAAGAACATCACCTAAAGAATAAAAACAAATGTTTAGAATAAATAACATAAATATTATATTAAGCTAAATAAAAAAAAATTGATTTTCCTCTATTAGATTTATTTTTCTACGACATTAAAATTGTGTACCTGGTTGAATGTCATCTGTAACATACAAACACCTTCCCATAGATTCTGAATATTTGATTTTAACCAATTTTGATAACGCCGGTATACTTTTGTTCGGTCCACCTAACAGCGCGATAGGAATTTTCTTTTCGTCTTGGTTTCTTTGCTCGGCGATGGGCTCGGATAATAACTTTTCGAGTTGTGTTTTTACAATCGTTTTCTTATCTTCAGATAACCGTGTAAGTGCCAAATGTTTTAAACATTCCTAGACAATAATAACACATAGGTATATTATGTACACAACGAGACGCTGTTTTTGAAAGACAACATACTTGGAATTTGTCTTTAGCCTGAGCCGTTCTCCCTAGTTTCCAATGACATTTGCCTTCTCGTTCGTAAAGTTTGTAAGCCGTTTCCGGAGGATACCCGTTGCCCAACGCATAGCGTACGTCGCTTATACACGCATCGTACTCGTCCAAGTAATAAAGTGCGGCCGAACGGTTGGCCACGGCCAACGTGAAGTCCGCACTATCGACCACTGCTGCCATCACGCTAATATTGTAAACGCACAGAGACCCGACATAATCCTTTGATGCGAAGAACTCGTTGCCTTCGGCACGTATCTTTCGGGCAATCATATTACTCTTGGAGTTCTTCGTCAGGTCGCACTTGTCCGGCAACTTTTTGTGTTCCTTCAGTAAACCGTAAGTGTACAAAAACTTGCTTTGGCCTGTGGTTTTCTTGGCGAACGTCGCATAAACTTCACCCATCATTTGCTGTTCTTTGAAACAATCCGTATAATAATCGTCCAAACCGAACAGAGAGTCCATCAGCTTCATACAATCGACCGACAACATATTTTCCATCGTACACCACGACTAGGTAGGTATACCGTATATTGTTATAGAAAAGCGGACGGGAATTTGGCAATAATAATAATTCAATATAATATTGTAATAGTCTCCGGCATTCCGACTTGACTTTTCGCGCTGAGATAGTACACTGTAGGATATTGCATATTTTTATCATCACTAAATCACTGTGTACAAGTGTAGACAGTAGTCTGTAATCTGTAGAGCTTGTCCTGTGGTCTAAAAATAAAAAAATCCTAGCGGGTGACACAAAGCGGCATACAAAACAGTGTTGTTTTGGCGGTTACATGCTGCCTATCGTTCTGTTCCATGAAATCTCTCAAATTCCAATCAAAAATAATATGGCCAAGAGAATTCACCAAGAGGACGTGATACCCCCTTACTATTTATTAAGGAGTAATTAAGATTTAAGGTATTTGTACTTCAATATTGGTTAAAATGTGTGTATTGTACAAAGGCCAACAATACATATGGTGTCTTTTGATAATGTAGACAATAGACTGATGAAACTGTTGTATTTTACGGGAACGTTTATTTTTATTTTTTATGGAAAACAAGTTTTTTTTGCCATATGTTGTTTTATTATTTATGTTATTTCACTTTTTCAAGTATAATTTTAGGGATTTATGTCTGAAAATTAGGCCGAAGCTAGTTCTAGATAGGAACTATAACATAGAATACAATTTTCTCAGAAATCGGTGTTCAAACATTTTTTTTTATTAAGTATAAACCAAAAAAAAAAATATATATATATATATCACACAGGTAACTATGACAATAAACTATTATGGTCAGACGATCTACCCTAATAATATTGTATGCCTTCTAATAACAATAATACATTCTTAAGCACATCATTGTCATTAGATACAATGCTTTTATCGATATTAGTTTTTTACAACTCGATGTATTTAACTGAAAGTGGTTTTATCAATTTCCATTGATTTAATTCTATACAGACTTCTGACCTCCTCCACTCTACTGGCTTTTTTTTATACACAAATATATTTTATCATATTTTACTCTCGATGCTAAAAGTAATTACTGTTAGAATTAATATAATATGCACAGCTATGGCCTATTTATAAAAATTAAAATTACTTGAATATTTTACTTAAATGCGTGTATACCTTCTAAACTAAGAGATGATTGTTTATATTTTGAACGGGGATGATCAACCAAGACTGTTACAAATAATTTGTAAAAACTAATTTGAAACAGCTATAGCCTATGTATCACAAAAAAAAAGTAATAACTAATAACGAACAAAAAACAAAATTACTAAATACATGTAAACGTGAGTTGTAAAATGGAATAACCATTTTTTAAAATCAATAAATCCTGGGACGAGAGGAAGGGTGATAATTAATCTGCGCCAAATAAAAAATGATTACCTATATTTTAAAGAACTACCTTATTGTCTAATTTTTAGACATTAGGTTTCTAAATACGCTCACAAAAGCTATATACAGAGCTTTTGAATCACCGGACAAATTTCTTCGAGTAAATTATTATCTCTATAGATCACACATCATCATGCCGCTGATCTGATATTTTCGTGTAGATAGTTTATAAATCAGATTTCACCTAAAAGTTACCTTGTTAGGTCAAAAATGTAAACATTTCACCCCATCCCCATTTTTAAATCGAATAAATTTACATACGATAAAAATGTAAATTTTTTAACAGGATATCTGTAACTATATATACTGGAAAACTGGAGCCCACAAATTTCTGGCTACGCTACTGAATACGACATGTGTTAAAGATAGTCACGATTGTTTTTATTTTATGAATTTAAATAATAAAAAACGGGTCATAGGCAATTTTTGGTTTTATAGACGTTATTTGAAGACCTTATAGTTGAAAATATTGTTCAAATATAATGTGTTTTCATATTAAACTAAAAAAATATGTAGGATACTCATGTACAAATACATAGGTTTGAAAAAAAAAACAGATGTGTAACGTTAATGATGACTAAGCTCAACTAATTTTGATAATGCAAAATAAAACTCTATTAAAAACATGTCAAAGTTAAGTTATGTCTGTATAAAATTATATTGTTCTTGGACCGAGCTGTTTATATAGTATCAAAAGACATAAGTTGGCTTCAACATGTTCTTAATAAATTTGTTTTCACAAGCTCAAACTCAAAGTATTTAGTTTGGCCTTTTATGTACTTAAATGTTAGAACCATTTATTTTTTTATATTACATAGAACATTGATTTTACAATAATTATAACTATAAACAAGATCGATCTAGTTTTTTTAAAAGGCTACAATTTTTTTTTAAATGCTTAAAGATGCTAAAAAATGTTTACTATGAAAATAAATTAAATTTATTAATATGAAATATGGCGGTGAAATAACAGTGTTGCCATTGCACTAGATCTATCTTCACATTAGTTTTCATACAAAAGGTTCTTAAACTGTGCCAAAAAAATGTAATGGGTAAAAGGGTTAATGGTATTTTCTGGATTCAAGACTGTTTACGTCGGTATTTAGATCTAATTAATTTTTCACAGAATTATTGCACTCTGTAATCAAAATTTGTAAAATTGTTAGTCTTAAAAAGTTGTGGTAATATATAGGCTAAGAAGAAGTGTTGGGTGTATCGAAATCAAACTAAAACAAATAAAATGCCTGGCTTAATACTTTTTAAAAATATATATGAAACCCTAGTGCATAATGATAAAATAGACTTGCATTATTAAACAAGATGTTAAAATAACTCAGCAATATCAATAAATTGATTTATTTCGGCCATTGCCTAGTCTTTAATAATAATCATTCCTAGTCCTTTATAATACTGATTGAATTGTATATTTTTAATCTAACTGTTACAGAGTGACCTATATATTTTACACCACTAGTGTGAAAAACTTCACATGACTCATTGTATGTTATTTATTTCGATTGAACACATAAATAAATAAGTTGCCTAAAATATAGGTATAGTTTGGCTGTATTAAACTAGGTTCTAGAACCAAAAACAAACATTTTGTGGTTTACACGTTTTTTATTTGCTACAATAGTTTACAAAATGTGCTTTTTTGGCCAAACATGTTCGCAAATAACACTAAACACATACTGCATACACAATAATAAAACATTAATAATGAGCAATGTACACACTCTTCATCTACCGAATAAGACAAACATTTTTAAATTGTATGCAGCGCATAACTATATATAATGTAAGCAATTGTACTGTTGCTCTAGTATAGTATTCAACTTCTTTGTTGTTTTACTTTAAGTCCGTAAATTAATATTTGGTTTAGCATTTAAAAATTCATATAATTTAAGATTAATTTCTTTAAAAAAAATGAATTTTAAAATCATAATTTTGGTTTTTACAGCTGTATTTTTCATTATAATGTCGACGTATACAGGTACATAAAAAACAATTAGTATACAAATGTAAAAAAAAAATGAACTCTCGTTTTTTCACAATGTTCACAAGATTTTTCATATAAATAATATATTTTTAATTTAACATGGCAATATATTTTTAATATGACAAAAAATGTTAAACATTTTTTCTTTATTAATTAACAATATATACTCCCTCCACCAACCAAATGAGACAAAATTAGTTCAAAAATATATATACTCATTAAGTTATTTATATTATACAAATCTTTTTCTAATGTTTCAAGTGTTAATGGAATATTAAAAAAAAAAATGTTCCATTGTTATTCGCTGATCTGATTTCAATGACAATTATAATAAATAAATAAATACAAATTCTTTTTTGTGGCTCCTCTGATAAAATGGTTACAGTTGTATATAAAATTATGTGGTCATTAGCAATATTATATAATTTTCTTTATCCAGTAATAAAATTATTTTATATATAACTTATACGTGAAACATGTATATGGCTACAATAAAACTAAACGCTTTTGGATTAAAATTTAAAATATATAATTTATACACAAGGATAAAAAAAAAATTTAAATCATTTTTTTTTTCAATATTTCAGGTCACCCAGGAGTTAGTAAGTTAATGGATAATATCAGTTAATGTGCTTTACAAAATACATACTAGCAGTAATTGTCAATTGTTTTCAATATAGCTTAAAATTGTATAAAATTATACAAATGCTCTAAACTGTCGAAAATAAGAATACGTTTGCCAAGTTTATAAACATAATGTATGATTTTGTAAATCCAATTATAATATTAATTTAAGAATATTACATGTGGTTATAATAAAATTAAACGCTTTTGGATTAAAATTAAAATATATAATTTATACACAAGGAAAAAAAAAATATTTTTATGCAATTTTCTTTTCAATATTTTAGATGACCAGCGTAAAAGTAAGTTAATTGATAATATCGATATATATGCTTTACAAATTTACTAGCAGTTTTAAAATTATTTTCATTAAAGGTTAAAATATAAATAAATGCTACCAAATGCCTTAAATTGTGAAAAATAAGAATACGTTTGCCACGTTCATGAACATATTGTACAATTTTTCATATCCAGTTATAATATTATTTTAAGAATATTACAAGTGGCTATAAGAAAATTAAATGGTTTTGGATCAAAATAAATATAAATAATTTAGACGTGGTGCACTAGGATAAAAAAAAAATATTTAAATAATTTTTTTTTTTGATTTTTCAGCAAGAACACAACCTTTACGACTTTCAAGACGACGACCTTCAGGACCATCACCACAAAATGAAGGACAACAACCAGGACCACCACCACAACAAAATGCAGGACAACAACCAGGACCACCACCACAACAAAATGCAGGACAACAACCAGGACCACCACCACAACAAAATGCAGGACAACAACCAGGACCACCACCATAACAACATCATAAAAGTGTAATTTAATAATATGTAATTTTATCATTAGTTTTTCAAATGAATGCGGTAAATAGTGTCAATTGTATAACTTTATAAGTTATAAAAAATATAAATATACAATATATAATTAATTTTGATTATTTACTATTTATATTCTTTATGTTCTTGATGCTTTGCCTGGCAATACGGCAAAATTGTTTTTTGCATTAAAGAAAAAACATGTTTCCAGTAAAAAAATTAATACTAAATATAATGCATCTTAACATTTATTTTAATATTCCTACCATTGCTGAAGTTTTCTGTTATTTAAATACAATAAAAAAAAAACAAAGTTTTATGTTTCAACTTGCTAAAAAAAACAAAAAAACTGTTTACTGACATTAAAAGAGGAACATAGAACTTCACCCTATTTACAATAGACTGTACTTATGTTAAAGTGTTTTTAAGTATATATATATTTTGCCAAAGTACTATTATCTAGTCGGTTGTCAAGAACAAATAAAGAAACAAAAAACCACCGTTAAACGCATATATTATGTACAAAAGCTATGCATGTGAGTTACAAGAAAAATATGTTTATGTTTTATTGCAGTTGGCTTAATTTAATAGAAATACCCTATCGTGTTGAATTTGGCTGTGGAATTATTTCCATATTTAGGTATTTTATTTTACATTGGTATACAATGCTACTGTAAAATTCTAAATTGGTAGTTTTTGTGTATACAGATACAAAATGAATAAACTAAAATAAAGTACATCATTGTGAAACCAATATCTATATAATTATATGCTAATTTTATACCTACTTATTATATGCTTTTATGATTCGCACCATAATGTTTACAAAAATTACCACTGAGAAACTTTTTTAAGTTTGTAAACTAAACACAATTTTCTTGAATTGATATTTTATGTTGGAAAAATATTACTTCTGTAAAACCGTAATAACAAAATTTCTAAGCATAACATAAATAATACAACAAAACTCAATACGTTTTAAAAAACCACTTATTTTATAATATATATATATATATATATAATTATATGATAAGTGTTGTTAAAAATAATTTAAATTAATACTTACTAACTTACATACAAATTAGATATAGAACATATCAATAATCACTATACTACTTTTCCTATTTGTTAATTGATTTATGATTATTGATACGACATTCAAAGTTTATTAGCTTTAATGTGGATTTTATTTTTTTGTCTAGACATCTAGATATCTTTTAATTGGCTGAACCGATTTCTTCAGTTTACACATGTCTACAGTTCATCCCTTTACCATCAAAATCGAGGAGAAACGTGCAAAAAATGTACATATTTTTCAGCTTAAAATTACGACGTTTTATTACTTATTTAAAAACTAGTTCGATATTTCAATGGAATATTCGTTATTTTGTAAAATATTATAGACAGACTATCAACCCTAATCGTATCCACCCTAATACTTAAAATACTAGTTTAAGCTCATTAATGGAAATATGGAATATTATATCTATAGATACGCGTCGAAGTGTGTTTATTTGAAAGTGATTTTATCTATACATAGTTAACGACCCTAATTATTTTAATCTGTTTTTTCATGTATGCACCTGAACATTTTAATTTTAGTTGGAATTTCTGTGTTGTACAAAAGCCGACGATACGATTTGTATCGTTTCATAATGTAGACAAAAGGCAAATAACTTTTGGCATCACACATTTTTTAAGTTTTTAAGTTTATGGGCCTCTACACCTGTGTGGATAAATAATTGTATTAAATTTGTTTTTAAAAACGAATTTTGTCTATAGATTTTTGAATTTTTATGAACTTAAAACTACATGAAAAAATTAGATCATCGGTTACAAAAACGTACAAAAACCGAATAAGATCATTTTAAATAGGCGTCTATAAAAATATTGACTTAAATTGATAATTTTTTTCGAAGTTATAACGTACTTGTATTAAAATTCACAAAATCGGCCAAAAACACATTTTTTTGGCAATTAAAAAATAATTTGTAGTTCTGATTTTTTTCTTCTATTCAATAAGTCCTACCTTCTGATTAATTTCCAACTATAAGGTCGCAAATTTACGTCTATAAAACAAAAAAATGTCCAGCTTAGTATATAATTTTTTTGAGCGTATTTAGAAACTTATGGCCTAAACTTAGACTAAAAGGCAGTTCACTGTAGCCATATAACACTTAATATAATCACCCTAATAATCTCTAGTCAATTTCGTTAATCTAAAATATATTTTTCATCATACACTAGTTGATTACGATATTGTTTGAGTTCATAAAATATAAACAACTGTTACTATCCACAATACATAAGTCGTATCCAGTAACGACTGTTGTTAAATAGTTATTCCATTTTACAACTCACATTTAAACATGTATTTACTGCACATTTTTTTATTTGACAAAAATTTAAAACAAATGTTTAAACACATATAATATATAAATATTATACCTAATAATATTGTTTTTTTTTTATAAAAAGATACCTATAATGTTACTATTTGAAATAATTTTTATAATTTACGGTTTTCTATTCCATGAAATTTTAAAGACATTGATTTTTCCACGATTTCAAGCATGGAGTGGGATAATCGCTTATCAGTTATATCAGTAAACTGAAATTGACCGATTTACGTTTGTGAACGTTCAGTATAGGCAGCAAGCGTCATTTCGTTTTTGTTACTTTATTTATATCATATACTTTGAATATTAATGTTTGTGGATTATTTAATAACATAACGTGCAGCCTTTATACACAAAAATAATGGGGTCCTCTTCTAAGCACAAGAAAAAGGACAAAAAGAAACGACACTATTCTAGTGATTCGTCAGACGCAGAGTTGTCTTCAAAACACAAGAAAAAAAGACACCAATCCAGTGATTCGTCAGATGCTGAGGTTTCCTCTAGACACAAAAAACACAAGAAACACCATAAAAAAAAGGAAAAGTCCAAGGATAAACAAAAATATCACAGTTCTGGTATGCCTTATTGTTTTTGAAATGTGCTGTGATGTTATGTTTTCTGTAGAGATATCTTTTGATTTGTGATATAAATATATATTATATTCTTTTATGGTGCTTTTTGACCAACCAATGCCCTTTTATTTAACCCGTAACTGATACAATGATAAGATGCCTCATAAGTTTACGTTGATAAGCATTGTGTGACGCCGCACTGTACCAGTTACGGGTTAAAAAAAAAAAAATCATTAATCAAGTTAACAACTGAAATAAGTATCATAATAATTTTCTTAACACAGATGATGATATTATTTTCGTACCTCCGCCACCAAAAATATCACGCGATGAGGCTCGTACACCACCTCCTCCAAGCCTTACGCCACCACCACCTCCGACCATCTCTTCGTCATCAGACAGCCTTTCAATCGAAGCAACCAACAAGCTCAGAGCCAAATTGGGTCTCAAACCTTTACAGGTAGATAATAAAGAAACTACCAAAAGTAGAGACGATGGACTAGAAGTGATTGCAGGCGACGAAGGAGAATTTGTTCATAAACCAGCAAGTAAGAATTTCATTCTTATTGTGATAAAAATTCATTTCTAATGTTGTTTCGTTCATTAATTAGTGAGTATAACAGAAAAAAATCGCATTAATAAAGTCAAAGCGAGAATAGCGGAAAAAAAAGAAAAACGGTTAATTGAAAACAAAATTTTAAAAGTAAAAAAATTAGCCGATAGTGATTCTGAAGAAGATACCATTAGCTGGGTGAAGAAGACTAAAAGTATTCAAGAAGAAATGGAAATGGCAAAGAAAAAGGTAAAAAAAACTTATTTATTTGTACTCATGAATTATTTTATTGTGCGTTTGCTTTGGACTGGTTTTTCAGCAATGTTTTTGTTTTGTCAAAAGGCCCAAGAATTGGAGGAAATGGATGATGTTTTCGGAGTGGGTGAGCTAATAGAAGAGAGCACTAAAAGTGAGATGAAAAACTTCTATTCCAGTAAGCATTTGAAGGGACTGGAAGTTCAACATTCAATGGTGAGAACCGTTTGTAAAAATCATGACGTGTTCTACGATTAAAAACAAATATTCATTTTTTTTTTTTTGTATTTTCATTCAGGATGAATTTGTTGAAGGCAAAGATGTTATTCTAACTTTACAAGATAAAGACGTATTAGCCGAAGACCCTGATGTGTTGGTGAACGTTAATATGGTCGACGATGAATCATATAAATTAGTATGGTTATAATATTCTTTTTAATATTCTATAGTTTTTTTTATAACTTTTATGTTTTTTATTGTCTAGAATATCGATAGGCGGAAGCAACGTCCAAATTACAACGCTTACGAAGAGTTTGAAGATATGGACACAGACGCTCCACCTACTGTAGTTCTTGGAAAGTATGATGAGGAAATTGAAGGCATAAAGAAAAAGAGTTTCAAACTTGGTGTGTATTATTTACTTATTAAAATAATAATAATACATTACTAAGCATTGTTTTACTAATGAAATATTTAAAGGTGTTGACGAATATAAAGCAAAACGAGATACTATCAAAGAGAAATTAAAGAAGAATTTAAATATGGATTCTTTGGGTTCGACTCAGTTGAAACTTGCATCGGATTATTACAACGATAGTGAAATGAGTGTTAAATTTAAAAAAGTTAAGGTATAAAATTTTAATTTTAATCTAAATATGATTTGCAAACTTAGTAAATTAAGCATTTTAACTACATGTTTTTTTATTTAGAAAAAGAAACTACGAATAAATCCATTAAATGCTGATAAGTTAGAGAGAACATTAAGACTTACTGGTAAAAATGGCCGTAAGGAAGATAACGATGAACTTGATGAAATCGATGACGTTTTAAACGGTTTGTATTTTGTGAAAATTATTAAAGTACATTATTTTATACAACATAAATAAAGTAGTATAAATAATAAATTTATGAGTTTCAAGTTTAACTAATTTTTATTACAAACCTAAATAAGTCAAATATTATAATGTTTGTTTACTCATTTGTTTAGGAGAATTAATGGATACGAGTGACATCAAGTTAGAAAATGACGAAGAAGATGATATGGGTTTGCAACTAGCATTAAAAAAAGCAAGGAAATTGAAACAGCTGGAAACAATAGAAAAAAAACCTGACATAAAAGACCTTATAATTGTAAGTATATGGCTACAAAGTAGTTCAGTAGACGCTGTCTGCAAATTTCTTTAGATTGTAAGAAAAACCACACCACTACATGAATTTATTAGAATTCATATATAATATCACTGCCCTAATTTTTTAAATAGCTTTCACTGTTCTACATTAGTAATATATTATATTTACATAGTAGTATAATTATAAATAACAAAATTACATTGTTTGTTAAATAGAAAAAAGAATACAACGATACAGCACAAGGTGCGATCACACTGAATTCAACTGCCGAGTTTTGCAGAACCCTTGGTGATATTCCAACGTACGGTAAAGCGGGAAACAGAGAAGAAGAAGAAGCTGAAGCCTTAATGGTAATACATTTTTTATTTTGCAAACTACAGAAATTACATCAGCACAGTAAGAAATGAGTGAAGTGCGGACAATTATTAATTTGGGTTAATAAACAGATTTAAACTTAATAAAATAATTTCCTAGAAAAACGCAACCAATTTTTCTTAATCTTTGGGCTCTCTTCAGTATTATTTGTATGTATAGTAATAACTTTGCTGCTAAAACATTGATTGATTATGCTACTTTGATTCTTTGAGACATTAATCAATATATCAATGAGAAAAACGGATTTATCATTCAATATAGTGCGTACTACAATAAAACTGCTTAAAAGCGGCAGGTTAAGATCAAGGAGATTATTTTAAGTATTCTATCCACAAACCATTGTGAAAATTTGTTAAAACATCCTAATTTTCAATATTTTTATTATTAAAGTATTATTTGATAAGTCAGTATTATGTGTGTTTGCCTGATTAATAACTGCTATATTATTGTTTGGCGATATTCTGTTTTACATTGAATTACCAATCCGTGTATGTTTTTATTAAATCATCAATTGGCTGGAAATTGAATTTTTTTTTAAAACTTTTTGAGTGTTATCCTTCTTGAGGAAAAAAAGAAAGAATGAACATTTTTTCAACTTTTCATGGTTTTATGTACTAGACAGAACGAAGACCCTCTTAATTTTGCACGAATAAATAATTGAAACTAATTAATTATTTAGGATTATGAAAAAAATAATGTGAAGCAAGAATATGAAGCAGATTCTGACCACTCAAATGAAGGATGGAAAGAGGTCGAAATAGGTGAGACTAAAACAAACGAATTACACAAAAGATGTCAGTAGGTATCATTTGTGATTTAAAATTTCAGATAAAAAAGCAGTGGATATGAAAACGATAGACAGCAAACCGATTTTGGAACCAGAACCAGATTTGGGTAAGGGTGTTGCTGGAGCTTTAAGATTAGCAATGAGTAAGGGTTATATAGAAAAAGAAGAGAGCGCTCGACCGTCGGCTTCACGTTTTGCTCATCTGCAGGCTAAAAACTATTCCATAGAAGACAAAGCATTTTTGTATGTTTTTAAATATTTCAACATAATATGACATTGTGTTTTTGTTAAATAAGTAGTTTAACGGTTTCGTGTGTTATCCGGTAAACGTTTAGGGCCGAGGATGAAAAAGCGAGTAGAAGAGATCGGTACAGTGGACCTACTGTCGAGTTCCGCGAAAAAGATGGATATAAGCCTAATATAAAATTGGATTACATCGATGACGACGGTCATTTACTAAGTGAGAAGGAAGCATTCCGGTAAGAATAAATTGTTTGTGTTAGTTTTCTTTATACTAATTAAAATAACACAACCAATCATTTCTTTTCGCGTAGGTATTTATCGCATAAATTTCACGGTAAAGGACCAGGTAAAAACAAAATAGAAAAACGTATAAAGAAAACTGAACAAGAAGCCGTGAGTTAAACAATAGTATTTAACATAACAGTAGTGGCTTGCGTAATGTGTACCTAACTTCTGAATGATTAAAAAATTGTTTTCTCATTAGCTTATGAAGAAAATGAGCTCAACAGATACACCGCTTGGTACGTTGAACATGCTACAGTCGAAACAAAAACAGACGCAATCGCCTTACATTGTTTTGAGTGGAACGAAATCGACACATCAAAGTCACGGGTTAGTGCAGATAAATTATAATATTATTAGAAGTTTAACAAACATAAATTATCAGTTTTTATTTTTTAATTTTATTTCAGAGGATCAATTTCAAAAACTAAACTCGGCTGAAAATGACGTATATGCCTTTTATATGGGTCGACGACTGTTTACTATAATGACTATACTTTAAATCTTTTTAGTATACATTTACAAATTATTTCTATCAACTGTTTGTATTTAAGGTATTATTTGTAGTAAATAATGATAAAGATAATAATAATAATTACAACAATAATAATGAAATGCCGTAATATAATATGTAGTAGAGTAATCCACTGTGGAACTTTTTTGTTGAGTTCAACATACGTTACAAGTTATATACATAACGTGTAAAAAAAAAAAAACACAATGAAATATAATAAATGCCATCAGGTTTGAACCTATTGTGGGATAAAAAAGTTTTTAAGAGATCCCAACGAAAGGGTTGACGGAGATATTTTCAGTCCGGAGGACGTCTTTGGTTTGGCTTCTCGATATGGCGATAGTCCTCGAGCAAAAGGGGCTTGGCTGTTGGTCATAAAATAGTATATTCCTTTGGCTCTGAAACGGATGGAATATTTTAAAACGTTGTCGTCACTTGGCAATATCGATGGTTATATATGGTTGTATATTTGAATAAAACACTGGCTTACGTCTGTGGTACGTGTTCGCCCATTCGAACGAGATTGCTCAGATTGGATGGTTCGCAAAAGTCCAACGTGTATAGTAAATAGCTCATGCATCTGACTGCCAAAAATTCATTCTTGGCCATTATAGACTCGGCGTAGTACTCGACGGCTCGAACGTGACTGCACGTCGAATCTGTAATAATTAATTATAACATAAACTGACAACTGAATATTAGTGACAATATGTATCCTAAACAACACTGGACAACTTGGAGGGCACACAACGTTTAATGTTTTGGAGTTCAACATTTTCCTGTAAATGTTCTGTCGATGGAAAGTACCGTGTATAATTAATAAGACGTCCTTTTATGGGTTTTTGGAGAATTGTTATGTCGCAGGCTTGTAAATAGGTTTTCAATGAGTAACAAAATACACACATTTTTTTTACAATTGAAAGTTCTTCTTTTGATATTTTATGGTAACATTTTTTTCGCAAGTTATCAGTTTTGATAGGCTGTATCTTGACAAAAACAAATCAAAAGAGTGAGGAAAAGGTACCGCCTGTTTATTAAGGAGTAAAGTATTGGCAATTTTTCGCAAAATCTTAATTTAGACCTTGATTATAGTGTTCACTTATTAATACAGTAAAGAGCATACTATCACAGTAATTTCTATAGGATAAATTACAGTTGTTTACCCATCAAAATTGCTTTGCGGGGGACAAACTTAAAGGTCAATATTTACAGAAAAATTGCCAAATTTTCACAATACACAGAAGAGAACTTTATCTGTGTTGAACGGTTTTTTTTAATATTAAAATATTCACTAACTTTCAATAAACAAATGAAAAAAAAACAATCTTCAAGATTGAGTAACTTGCTGTGTTTTAAGCTGTCAAAAAAAAAAACCGGTAAAGTTCTTCTCTGTATATTGTAAACATTTTAAAATTTATTTTTCTGCTAGTTTTGCCGCCAAAATACTGACGTCCTCATAGCAATCTTTTTTTTTTAAATTGTTAAAGTTTAGATTGGTTTTCAAAGTTGATTTTTTTTTAATGAAAAATTAGAATTTCCCATGTTAAGAGGACAATACTATGTACCTCCTATTTGTTATGGCGTTCGGTTTAGGCAATTTTTTGCAAAATTTCAAAGGTAAAACTGTGATGTGTAATTATTAGTTTAATAATTAGGACACTTTTTGGTAGTTAATTTATTTTCTGGACTTTCACAGGCCTCGGACACTGATAAAATTTACACGGGGAAGATACTATTATCACACAAAAACGCGATGGCCATCTTCTTAAGGCTACACCACTATAATATTGTATATCTATACATTACTATTTTAAGTCTTGTTTAGATATAACAAGAATTATTAACACACAATACTAAACAGGTACACAAAATGGTCGTCAGTTTTTTGTTTACATTGAAAGTGACCCTTCTGATTTTATCTACTCCGTGGTCTGGCTCTTAGCCGCAAAAACAAAATGGCCGTCGGCCTCAGAAGAACCCGGGTAATTTTTTTAAAGTGTCCCTTCTGGTTATTCTGTGGCTCTACCGTAAGTAGTCATATCGAACTCTTTTATAGAATAATATATTCTTTGGGACTATTTTTTTTCTTCTTATATTATAATTTCGGACCCTCAGTTTTCCAATGTCACTGTGTGTGTGTGTAATATTTGTTGGTGCACTTTACTGAAGCCGCACGCGGGTTGTATCATGGCGTTGTTGGCGTAGAAGTCGACGTTGCCCAACGGCACGGATTTGCCCTTGTAACCGATGTTGGTGTGAACGACATCCACGAAGACGGCGTCAGACTTGTCCAGCATCTCGTTGGAGACAATGTAAGTGTCGAACAGAGGAGAAGCCGGATCCAGGCCTGACGGTAGAAACAGACTGTTATCGAAATAAAACCAACCGACTTGTACTGTGATGTAAGCTACTGATTTCCAGCCCAAAACTTTTGATTATTTTTTTTTAATAATAATTATTAACGGTTTACCGGTTATCCTTTGGATTGTGCCGTTGGTCAGCCGCCCTATGTGGCCGGCCACCTGAGCGCCCAAACTGAAACCGACCACGTGCAGGTCTTTGAAGTCCAAGTCTGTTCGGACGCGAAACAAGTGCTTGATGAACGCGGCCGTGCACTTGCCCACCAGCGGCACGTTGTGTACCGCTTGCACGTAGCACGGCTCTTGCACCAGGTCCTTGTAGTCCACCGATATGACGTTCAAGTTTTTGTACGTCAAGTATGCTGAAAACGAAAACGATAATAAATACACGTTCTAGGGTGAGGGGGGGGAGGGGGTCATTTTTGAGTTTAAAAACTTTGGACGGATACAAACGTTAAAGGGGGGGGGGGGTGGCTCCATACAGACCATTTTTTCAGTCAAAACACATCATTTTCATTCCATCGCACAGGCCTAACCAGTGATCCGATAAGCAATCTAAAATCAGATTTGAATTCGTCATGAAGTTTACTTAGGATCGGCCGAGGTACTTTTATCAATTTTTAATTTTAACCCTTTCTAAATTTTATTTTAAAATGTTGAAATTTTGTAAAATGTTCAAACGTGTGTTATACATAGTAGGAATAAGATATCAAAAAAGTACCGTGACCGATCTCATGTAAATTTCATGACGAATTCAAATCTGTTTTCATATTACTTATCGGATCACTGGTTGAGCCTGTGCGATGGAACAAAAAATGTATGTTATGTTAACTAAAATGGCTTTTACTCATAGACAAAATGATTTAAATTAAAAATAACACCTTGAAACTTATACAAATTAACCGGTAAATTTATTGACATGGTCGAAATTTATTTAAACCAATTTTTTCTTATGGAGCCCCCCTTAAGGCGGTGTTTTTTTTTCAAAACCACTCGAAAGATTCCAATGATATTTGTACAACACATTACACTAGGCGTGAAAAACAAGTGTGCTTAATCGAAGGTTTTTCTTTTGTAAACAAACGCATTTTTCCCCTTTAAAATTCATACATAAACTTTCAGAGGCCGCCTTTTTGCTTAATTTGATAAAAAAAAACCTTAGAGTAAACATTGAGTATTCTCGTTAGGACTATTCGAGAGTGAGATTTTCTAAAAAAATGCTGACTGGTCGGAAATAATTTTTAAGTTTATTATTGTGGTTAATTTTGTTAAAATATGCGATAGGAAAGACGTTTCCCTGTGTTGAGTAAATAATCGATCGAACACATTTATTAATTGTACAATATTTTGTATATAATTTTGTTTATATTTTTTAATTTCAAAAGATTTGAGTTTTGTTAAAAAATAATATACAATTTTTGGCAGTTAAAAAAATAATTTTAAACCATACCCGAGTGGGAGGATATTTTATTACCACTTAAAAACCTGTACTTAATAAAGTGCTTTTTAAATACCTTCCTGAATAATTAACGCGCTACAAACCAACGCATGGCACTGATTTTACATAATACACACCGCTGTTCTTGCCTTTAAAATTTTTCCTCGATAAGAGGTAGGTTAATTTTATCACAGGGTCAGCACAAAATAAACCGTTGCCGATAGAAAATTACATAGAAATAATTGAAATTAATTTGTATTGATGTTTTTTTTTAGTAGAAATAAAGAAAACAATAATATTTTAACGAATAATTTTTTTGCTATTTGGTCTGATTATTCATTTGTGGGGAAAAACGAATGACAGTTATATTGATGGACGATGGCAGGGAAAAGGAAACAGGTGCGCGCTCCGGTTGAAAATTAATGGGGAAAACGCTATTAAAAATTCATATAAATAATAAAGTATTCTAGTCTCTCGAGAGGCGGTAAACCTACACGTGGATACAATCATTTAAATAGATCCATGCTAAATGCAATAATAATAATTAATGAGCGTCGAATTAATGTGAACCGACCTTGGAAACATAACCGTAAAACAAATTAACAAAGAATAGGTATTATTATTTGAAAATAAATTGTCTAATAATAGTTTTTTAATATTATTAAGACATAATATATTTGTATTCATTCAGTCGTTAGTCTACCTGTACACAGTATAACTCTGCAAAGTGAATCAATTTCAGTAACTTTAAATTCAGTTTATTTTTTTCGTGTGCTTAGAAAATCGATATACAACCAAGCATGTCACATTATACAAATATTATACATCTGTATTAATCACTGTGAGATATTTCGGTTATTTTATTTGTAACTTTGTTTCCAGTTAAAAAATAAATAAATTAAAAACATGTTTTATTCCCTACTTCATTTGAATACTTGATTGTAGTGGTGTACCAAATGTCAGTAACACTGTAGGCCATTTTATTATATTTTGTTTGTTGAAAAAATGACAACTAAAAAAAAAAAAAAGTTACACAGATTCTTTATGAGTTAACGAGAACAAAAGCGCGTGCGGTTGTATGATTTGTACGTTTTTTTTTCAATTTAAAATTCTAGTGTATTTGCTGAAATCTAAAAACAAAAAAATATTTTAATGATGGAAAAGAAAGCATGACGAGATCGTAGAGCAACAATGAGCGTCTACAATATGAGATGTAAAATCTACCCCTTTGTCTTATAATAAACCTCTTGTAATCTTATATTATGAAGTCTTAGATATTATGTAAAAATATAATAATATACCTATTCAGATAGATAACAATACGGTACTAGCCTTTTGTTATTTAGGTATCTCAGTGAGAAATCATTAAATTATATACCATAAAAAATGTTTTATATAATTATTAAATTATTATTTCTAAATCCGTCGTGACTAATTCAATTGTAAGATTTAACAGAAAACGAACAAACAAAATAATTTTAATAAAATTTGTTTATTTTTAACCCGCAGAATATACCGTTACCGCGGTATAAGATCTTACACCTACCACGGTAAGTGACGATTTTAAAAATATTTTTTTTATAGTTCTTCATAATATTACTTTTATCCCATTTCGATTTAGTGCGGCATTATTTGACTTAATTAAAAAAGAGGTTTGTCGAGTGATACGATTTTGGACAAGTTATTAATATTATTTAAGATGGAAAACGACAAAATTCCACACCAGACAACCGCAGGAACGTCGTGTATTGACAACTACCGAGTTGTTGTTGGGCAGACATATCATTTGATAGGTAAAGTATAGTAATTTATTATTTCGAGCGTAACATTGGAGTGAATAGTGTAATTAATAAATTATAAACGATAGCAGTTCATCGTTAGACACTTACCTGGTCTAAGTTCGATATTCGGCGAATAATCCTTGTTTCCCGTGTAACCGTGAATGAGAATTTTGATGGGTGCATTTAATATAAACGGCGCTTGCAATAGATTGTCCGGATCTGTGTTGTCTAACACGTAGTCGTTTGTGTACCTTGAGAGAATAAAATGAGAGAATGAGTTATTTTCGGTCTGCTTAAACATGTAGAGATGAAAAAAACATTTTTAAATCGCTTTCAAGGATGCTGTGGTAGTCCAAAAAATAAATTAACTACCAAAATAGAGTCCTAGTTATCGAACTAATAATTACACATCACAGTTTAACCTTTAAATTAAGATTTTGTAAAAAATTGCCTATACTTTACTCCTTAAAAATGGGCGGTGCGACGCCCTTTTAATGCAATGCAAATGAATCCTTATCGATAAAAATACACAAAATTCAATATCACATACATTACGAAGGAGAGTTTTTATATGGTTTTCCCTGAATGAAAAAAAAAATAACTACGGATTTTTAAAAAGCTTTCTTAGTTGGTTTACATAAGATCTCGTTTAGTCTAATATATTTGAATCTAATAAGTTCATAACTATAATGTATTAACATTGAGACACTTATTAGAACAAGGGCCAAAATGTGTTTTTACTTATTGAATTTTTTAATTTTTTTCTTATTTGATATTGTGGTACTATACTGTCATGATACTGTAATAAGATAAGATAATTACTAGAATACTAGAAAAAGTGCCTACTAAGTGTTATTTTTTATAAACCAAAGTACAACAGCTGTGATTACAAAAGTCTTACAAAGTAAAAGTATTGTGATAAATACTTTTAAATATTGTAATATTCTCAAAGTAAATATTGTTTTCTATATGATGCATTTTTCTTTTTTTTTTTTGAAGCATGTTAATATAACATTGAGCATGATATTGAATAAAAATGTTACATTTCATAGTTCATACACAGAATAAATGTTTTTTTTTATAAATAAATATAAACTTTAAATTTTAAAAGTTTTGATTAGAACAAACGCCTATTTTTACAACTTTTAAACAATTTCTTAGGCTAAATTAAAACTAAAAATTAATATTTATAAATAAAATCAACCCATTAAATGGTAATAAATTAGGCGAAATTATAGTTTTCTAAAACTACAGCGATAAAACTGAAGTAAAATAATTCAAAGAAAAAATAATTCTCTCAAAGGCGTTAGCAATTAGAACAGATTTATATAGGAATAAGATTTAATCTTTAATAAGATATAATCTTTTTGAATACCATTTGTTGATAATATGTATCTAAATAAAAATGATTTGTTAGAAATTTTTTTTAAAAGTCAAAACTCAATGTTAAAATTCGAAAAAGTTGAATAATTCCGAATTTATGATGATGAATATGATTGTTGTTACTGATAAAAAAAATGTTTGTACTATATTGATAAATTTTGAGAAAACGCTAGTTTGCTTTTAACAATTTCTACTGATTAGAGAATATTTAAACAGCGTTATTAATACAGTTAATTTGAAGTAATTGTAATAAAACAAAGACATAGGTACAAAACAATATTTAGTTTTAGTACGGCTTTAAAATGATTTAGTCTGTTTGACTTCGGAATTATTGTGTAATATTTATATTAACTCATGTTATATTGACAATCTGTGTTTTAAAACTTAGGTACTTCAAGTGAATAGTATAATTTTTATCGGTTATTTTGGTTCGAGCTTTTTAAGAAAACTAACACTTACTTTAAGATGCCGAACCCATTGTACGGCAAAAGCTATTTATTACTCCGTTATCGTTAAAAAAGTTTTGCTATTGTTATAAACCTTTAAGAATCAGGTGTCGGTCGAAGAGAGTACAGTTCGAATTCGCTTTATGCTGTAACAGCATGGGGCTGTAACTAAACGAATTCCATGGAGAAAATAATGTCTATATCTTATTTCTGTCATGTCTGAGATTCAATTTATAATGTTGTCGTTTCAAAATACATTAAAAAGTTTAAAAGTGTACATTGATAAATCTTCAAAAGTCGTTAGTCTATACTTGCTATTTCCTTATTTAGAGAGGTAAGGAAGAAACTTTAAACTTTGCCTACACTTTAAAGTGCCACGCATAAACATTTATGAATATTGCATACACTTATAGATTTTGGGTACTATAAGCCATTAGGCAAAGGCATACATATAAAAACCCGTGTGATAACAGTTGGCATTAAAAGCACCTTGAAATCTTTTTTTTTAGCAAAGATCCTTATCATTCGCTATCTTAATTTCAAATTAATGAATGGTTCCTGAAATACAGATTTTTCTGTAATTAGCATATTTTGAAGGCGGTATTTGATGTTTAAATTCAAGCATTTATGATTTTTTAAATTTTAATTTGTTATGCCTAAAATGCATTTGCTTACTGTAACAAAAGTATTGCGTACACATTGATTACAATAATGACATACAGGTTAAATTAGTAAATAAATAGAACATAAATACACATTCGTATAGCTATCATGTCTTACTCATTACAAAACAGTCGTGTTTGTTCGTTAAGAAGTCCAATTAGTTCTTAAAATGTATACAGTCAGTTAAAACAGGGGGAAAAAAATAAAGTAAACGGCTCCGGGGTATTCGTGCCAAGTTTTTCGAGTCGTTTAGCAAGTCGACATCTTTGAGTTAAATATTTAATAAGATAACAGCTATTAACTAAACAATATTCTAGACGTTATTACATCCATCCCATTCGGTAGTAGAACGGTGTTAAAGCCATTTGAGTGTCGAGTTTTTAGAAAAGCCCTAAACTCCAATGAACGCGAGTAGTGTCAAATCTTTATTAATGGTGTTTCTTGAAATTGGTATTTGGAGTGTAAACGGATTGGACTACTAAGCTTTTATTTTATGTCACAGAGAACGCAATACCAAGATTTTAAAATTATGATTGGGTTACTTACAAGTTATAACAAATCGTAGCATTGTATGTTGAAAAGATTGTGAATTATTCTTACATACCATTTTTTTAGGTTTATAATGTTGTTGTTGTTAAGTTTGTTTAAAAAGGATCTGCACGGAAAAATGATATTGTTCTCTGTACTATAATTATGGATAAGGACACAATCAATTTATATAGTTGGAATAAATAAATCAATAATTAGGCCAATTAAATGCGCAGCTCTTAATGCAACTATACATTTGGTTGGTCTAACTATTTATTTAGTTCTTCCAGCTCTTTTAACTATATATTTTGTTTCATTCTATTTAAAATTTAACAACGCATTATTTTCCTCAAAGCGAATCGTCCATTTTTTTTTCACATCCATAAATCTAGCGTGGAAATTAAAACGTATGCGATTACATTAAGAATGGATACTACCATGTGATTTTTTTAATAATTAAAAGTCAGTTAACGGGTGTGGTAGTATTAGATTATTTAATGAATAATAGGTGATGGAATTTCTTCGTTCAATTGTCCACCAAAGTAGTGAACTCTGAGCTGTCCTATTCTCTCCTTGAGGAGTTTTCAAAGATCCCTATTGTCTCTGAAATGATCATGTAAACTTGTATTCAAGATTGTTCATCTTTGCATTTTGTTCGTTATTTTACTAAAGTCTTGGTCAAGCATTTTCTTTCTCAACTTTCCACGACCGTTTAGGCAAGTGTATGTAAATCTATGCTGTGAAGGGATTTTTATTACAATATACACAACATAACGTTGTGTCGTCGCCGGTGTACGTTTTTTGAATAATGTGACAGAAAGTAAAGCAAACTGTAAGCGACAAATAAATCCGCTAGCACACATTTACCACGTTTGACGTGTGCTTAACATGTTTTTTGCTCTTTTTATTCAGTTCTAACTCGATTCCGTTCCCTCTGCACGTCCGCAATTTATCAAAGGTAAACGGGTTTGTCCCGGCCGTTTTTAAGAAAATCAAGTGCTCTCAATGATAGCCTCCTTTCTTCGTTGGCCCTTTTTTTTTGGTTTTAGCCCTTCTTTCTTTTCACTGCACACCGCGTTTTCAAACGCAAATCTCGAGTGGGCTTTTGTTTTTACTTTTCCGGGTCAAGTGTGCGCGGTAAACGGTATAACGAATATTTGTTTAATCATCATCGTCAACGTTCTTAAAGCTCTTTGCCGACGAAAAGGTATTTCAGTGTGCACAGCCAGTAAAATTTAAAAATTCTGTTGTAGTTTACTAAACATAAAAACACAACTCCCAAAGAATGGCATGGTTATGATACGATTTCATAGACTTAGGAGAATGTATCAAAGAAAACTTAGGAAACTTAGTTGGTAGTAACCTAATTTCCATATGAGTTCAAAAACTGTATATTCATTTGAACGTTTTGTATAATTATTCATTTTAAAAACGTAAGTCTAAGGCTCGACCTTTATGACTTTTAGTTGTACATAGTTTATGTTATTTTATAATATAAGAAAATTTTCTCTGTAGTGTAAAATATATTTTTTTAATATATATTTCAAAGAGCAGTATCGACTTTAAAACGTACAAAAACATATATATTTGATTAACTTGTAAAATGAAGAATAATTGTATACAGTTTTCGACTGTCGGATTGATGGATACTTATAAAAAAAAACTAGATAAGAAAGCAGAAGTAAAAATAAGACTAAAGTGTAGTATTATTTTTATCTGTACGTGTGACCACTCTTAAAATAATTATTGCAAATTGGTAATTGACCAGTCAACATTTTTAGTTAACTATATTCTTATCTGTTAAAAGTGTAAAAAAATATGGTAACTACCATTTGGACTTCAAAATTTGATTGAATTTTGAAAATGTAAATTTTTGGGAATGTTTTATTTTATATTGTAAAAAATAAAATATTCCAGATCTAATTATTTTCGGGTCTAATTATGTTCTCTTTTCCACAATTAGCGGTTAGGTTACTTTTTAAACTATTTATCAATTATCTATTAACATTCTTTTAATATTGGCTTCTACGTTTTTAATCATTTAAGCTATCCAAACCTCATTTCTTAATTATTAACGTTCTGCTGTCTTTGATACCGTATTCTGTTATTAATGTTATTCATAATATTAGTATGCAAAATGTTGGTATTGATTTTTAACACTTGAACGAGTGTTGTTCTTAAATTTTAGTGTACCATTGACTATTTCTATTATCAATTGGAAACCCCTGGACAGTTTTTTTAGAAAGGAAAATTGTTTTTTATTATTAAGACGTGAATATACGACACTTAACGCCGTAAATCAAAATGAATTATATTGTTAAATAAAAAAAAGCAAAAAGATAAATAGTCGGGTAGTTGGATAAGGTTAGAAGTGCGGTATGAAAATACGAGATATTCTTCGTTGTAAATTGTACAAGTTTTGGAATGCTGTCGTTGTTCAAAATAAATTCACCTAAATCTGACGAATACAACACTTGAGTAATTGAACATCCCACCGTGTCTTATTGTAATCGTTCAAAAAGAATTTTTTCGCCTTCAGCCTTTGTTGGCAACATGAAAAATGATCTGATGCTCTTGTTTTTCTAAGTACAATATTTTGTCCCACAATTTAAAGTGACAACCCCATTTGTGCTTTATTTGTATATTTTATTCGCCGATTTATCAGCCGAGTTCGGGACTCGACGCAATTAAAAATCATCAAAACAAGAGGTTTTATTATATGTGCTTATAAAACTCCGTTACACGCACTTTATATTTTTACAAATACTTTTATATGTATTTTTAATATAATGACATAATGTTTAGTCAGATTAAATACCAAAAAATTTAGAAATAGGGTATCGTTATTATAAAATATTACATAATAGTGCCTAAGACAATTGTAAGTATATTTTTTACACTGTATACAGTTTTCCTTTACACATAATCATGCGAGTATTGCAGAACACATTTTTATTTCATTTTAGCAAAACACAAATAAAAAATCGGTAGTTGAATAAAATGAATTGTATTTTCTGTAATTGGGATGATAGTCTGAGAATGTTTTTATTATTATTTTATTTTTGTTTCTGGACTCACTATATTTCCTAAACCGATTAACCGATCTCTTTGTGTAGCAAGTCTGAAATAAGACATTTTACCTGATATTGTGCCAAAAATGAAAAAAGTGTATAACGTCGTTTTCTGCGTGAAGATTAATAATGTTTGTAAAAATATTATTCTTTAAGTTGATAAAAACTATTCTAATTACTGGAAAAGTTTACAAATATACTATTACTCAAATACGTATAGTTTTTAATTAGGTTAGTATTGATAAGATTGGTTAGTAGACCCATTGTTTTACGTTTTTCTGCGACATTATGGGACGTCTTGAGCGTCGCTTACCTTGTGTACAAATGGAACGTTATGTTTGGATTTGGACACTGGGGCGGCGGTTCCAGACAATATTTAAAGCTGTCGAATCCTGGCAGCAGTTCTATTAGTCGACTTCGAGCTTGGCTCACTCCCAGTATGCTAAGAATGTAAACTGAAAATAAATGGTAAGAAAACAATTAACCACGAATGAATGGATTGGATAGTTATTTATGAGTATCAATAAATAATGGTGTACGTTAAGCTTATATAATATTTTTATTTATTGAATATCATACCAATTTTAAAACAATACTACCAGAAACGATTGGAATACCTTTTGAAGTTCAAAAGCTTTGTCGAGATATTCTATTAAAGATTTCAGAAGGAATTTTCCAATATTTTATGTATATATATAATTAAAATATAAGTCGGACACGAAATGACCAGTTCGACATTATTCTAGTTTAGGGATTTCAATTTGTATAACTGTAAATAATTACCTAATGCCTTATAGTTCATAATTGATGACTATTTGGGGGAATTTCGGACAGAACTTTATCAACTGTTTGTATCCATTATTTGCTAACGAGCTGGGCGAATGACAACCTTTCGGTAGCCGTTCACACTGGTATTATAATTCTATGCGTGTTTTAAACTGAGAAATATTTTAACAGACAATCAATTATTTAAGGAGAACTCGGTTTAAAGTTAAATGTATTTATAATTAACTTTATCCGTAGAGAATGATAACCCGGTTGTATTCTTTGAATCGCGTGCGTTCCTGCTAATATAATTTATGTTGTATACAATCTACAGTAGTAGTTATACACAAAGGAAAAAAGTACTACCCTGTTTTTATAAATTCATATCTCGGGAACGGTTTGAGGGATACATATTTAAGTATTTTTTGATTGATGCTTAGTGAAAAAAAAAATGGCTGATGCAAAAGTCAAAATTGTTGCACTTTAGCGTGGATCAACTGATATGTTTAACGGTAGACAGTAATATTAATATTATAAAACGTTTTACTATCTTGTTTTGCTTTTACCCCGAGCCACCAGTCGCCTTGGGAGACGTCCCTGATAAATGGGGAGAAATCGCGTTCAAGGTAACCACTGTCTTAAAGAAAGCTTTTCTTAATTTCTGTTACGTCATTCCTTCTTAAAAACATTGATTCATTATAATATGGCCTGGTAATCTGTTTGTCCCACCCTAACATCTCCAACCCCTTAAATAAAATGTATTAACGTTCATACGGACGGGAATGGACTTGTGACATGAATTTCTTAAATTTGTTCTGAACGGAGTTGACCCTAGTCGGCTCGTTAAAAACAAGCTAGGCCTATCACGGTGGAGTTGAGAAGTCATTAAGGTCGGCTCAAGACGCGGTCAAGCTGGGCGACCGCCTGGGACGGTAAATTAGTTTTAATTCCGGAATTTATAGGCATAGTTGTGGGGAACTTAGGGGAGCTAAGGTACCCTTTACTACCTACAACCCTATATTTTGTTAAGATATTACCTTTTTGTTTTAAATTCTTATGATTAATGGGTTATTATCGTCAGTAGTCAAATCATAACATTTTATAACAAAGGCTAAAAACAAAAATACTTTTAATGATAGACTAATAGTTTTATCTGTAGCAAAACTTGAGTCTGTAAGTCAAATCACAATTAAAAATTCTTTATTGTCCATGATAATAATGACCAATATAATATTATTTGTGCGTACCTACTGACTATCCAATGTAGTAACAACTAGTTATATTAATTTATGAGAACTTGGGTAAAAATATCGTATTAATTTCATTATTTTTACTTCTAGTTATCCACAAATTATTTTTGTTTCATTATTCTTCATCATTTTACCCGCAGCTTAAGTTTGGTGGTTTTAGATCCAAGATATAAAATTAAAAACCACTATTAACTTTATTGAGTAGTAACTTGTGTAATTATGTTTTATTACTTTTTAACTACTCGTTGAATATAAATCATTCTTTTAATGTTGAAAGGCCTCGATCACGCTATGTTCAAAGAATAAAATACACTACACAAGTTGTTAGTTTGTAGTAAAGGAAAATAGCCTAATATACGTTTATGGAAGTTGTTATGGAAATAACGCTATTACTTACAATAATATAATACCTACTTGAAAAATTAAAAAGTCAAACACAATAAAATCAAGTTTAAGAAATATAATAATTATTATTTTTCGTGTAACGCGAAAATTGCATTATTTTATTCACATAAATCTATGTAATCAAAAACGATTCTTCTGGTGATTCTTTAAAAATATTATATAATGTATTTTAAGAATAATTAATACAGTTATCTGGATTTTTTAGAGTTTATAGTTATTAATATTGAACATTTATTAAGTATACATACTTAGAATTTTGAATATAAGATTATTTAAAATATATTAACTAAGTTAAAGATTATGGGTTAAAAACTTTAAAGGATAACTAGTTAAATGATCCGAACAAAAATAATTGTTTTTTTAGGATACCTATTAAAAGGATGAATAATTTTAGTATTTCAGAGACTACACTAATAAATTGTGTTTTTCTCCGTGAGCAAAGACATAGACGTTTTAAAAATGGTCATACAAACTTATACTAATTCTGTAACAAATATTTAAAAAAAAAAAGCATTGTAATATCCATAAGAGAAGAACTGGATAACATGGCTGGATATTACCAGCGTCGAAATAGATGTTATTGTTGTTATTTAATTTGTTTACTCAAAAATTACCTTGCATCAGAAATGCGTCCATATTCATATTTTGAGCACGCACTATTAAAAATTAATACTTAAAATAAAAGTTAAGCTATTAAACGGAAGCAAAATTACAATATATGTAGTTAGTATAGTGTGTTATCACAGAAAATGTTTTGTCTATTATTTGAAAGTACTGAGTGCCATCGGTCATACCGACAGGTTTAACAGTTTACCACCATTCGGTTTCAACTAATTTAAAACCTCTTAAGTTTCTAAGAGTATACTGGGCTCAGTGGGGGTAGGAGTACATCATAATAAGTTCTGATAAATAAATAATCATATTTTCTCTAAACGCCAAGCCTTGAAGTGCTGTTGTTGCATTTTTTTTTGTGTCCACTGTGTGATGGCGGAGAAGTCATGCTGTGTTTAATAACTGTTAACAGCATAAAGAAACCAAAATGTAAAGCGAACAATGACTATAATGGCAATCGGGAAACGGAATAAAGATAATTCACTATATTTTTGATTCACAATATTCGAATAATGGCAAGGAAACAGAGAAATACTGCTAAAATGGCTAATGAGATAATATTTTACAGGAACTTTAAAAAGCTGATAAAACATTTTAATGATATATGATATAATATATAACTTTATATTATTGTATTAACGAATAATATTTAAAAAACAGCTACCTATTGTGCTATATGGTATTAAAAAAAAAGAAGGTTACAAATGTAATAAGTAATAACAAAATATATTTTAATGATAATGTTTGTAACTAAAGGACGTTATTCTAAAATAATAATAACATGTCCTTCAAATCGTTCGATACATGTATTTCCGGGGTTTATATTATTAATAAAATATCCTAAAGGTATAAAAATATATTTTTTTTTTGAGTTAATGTATAACAAAAGTGATATTTCATAACAGTTGTTGTAATTTTTTTTTTTTTAGTTTCTTATGTTAAATCGATCGCCCTGTAGTTGTTTAGAAGTTTTTAAATTAAATTTTATTGTTTCAGTTAAACGAGATTTAAAATGACTTATTTTCTGCACCATACAAGTAGTGTACACATTTTTATAGTTTCAACGTAACTCGTTTTATTTTTATGGATTCGAAAAATGGACTCTTAACAAACTGTAAATATGTAGCCACCTTGTTATCTAAAATACAATTTTAACCTATATAGCTCTGCTGCTTGTCGTTATACAGATGAAATGGCCAACATAAATATTAAAACATGTCAGCTCATGTTTTTTCGTTCAGTACATGTTGTACAAATTATTAATATTCGAATTACCATTCATGACGGAATCGTGGAACTCGGAATTCATAAAAATTATAATAACTAGGCTTATACAGGAAGTAATACTAGGAAAAAGTAACAACTGCAATCTGTGTTAAATGAATAATATTTTACCGAGAGTCTTCAGTATAAGCTTTGAAAAGTGTTAAAAGTCCTACCTGTGTATGGCATAAATACAAATAGTATTGATTTGAAAGAAAATTTAAAAGTATATATTATTTGACCTTCCAATAATTTCGCTCAGAGGTTTAGTTTTATTTATTAAGAATTAAATACAAAATAAATAAATACATACTATATTATTGCAATGTCTTATTGTTTCGAATTTTAAAAAAACATTGTAGTAAGTCCGCACTTACCCAACTTTCATTGTAATCTATGTATACGTTTTTAAATTTACTAAAATATGTCATACTTAGTTTTATTAAAAATCATTTTGTGGGTCATGTGTTTATCGATTTTTGTTTGATAATAATTTGTTGAAAACGCTGTTGTGTAGTCTTTATTAAAGAAATAACTATTTAACTTTAAAATAGATGTACAACCAAAAGGTTAAATGATTAAGTCTATATAAATTGGATAGATAGTTAGGGTTAAAGCCAAATAATTATCGACATCCTCAGACCTACCTAATGTCGCCAATATCCGAAAAATACACACATAGCCTACTTGTAATGTTTCTTTGAGTTCATCTGTTATTCATCCTTGAAAAAAATTCAAGTTAAAGATTAAAAAGCTTAATAGTATTGTACAGGAAAGTGATAAGGAAAAATGTTTTAATGTATTATGATTACGTTGCATTTTATAGTGTTTCTATTTGAAATATTTTTATTTTTGTTATAGTCATTAATATACAATACCTATTTAAATTTTCATCTTTATTAGTATTTGCTAAAGTTCTGTAAAGTTATAAAACTTAAATGTCAACGTATATATTTAACATTGTCAGCAAATTGTTGTTAATTTAAAAAGTTTAAAAATATATATATACACGTCACCATTTAAGTTTCAGAAGTTAATAAGGCTCTAGAAAGTACTAAAAAGATAAAAAATGTAATATTGTTTCATATAGTAATATTGCAAAAACAAAAATATTTAAAAAATGAAACACTACAAAATTACAATTTTTTTAAGAGTAAACTAGTGTAGGGCGTTAAAAGAATCACACGGTATACTCAGGTGTAACTAGAATTAATTTTCTTTTTAATTTAAATTTGTTTTGGGGGTTAGGCCTTGTGCTACATGCATGTGGGTGGACTTGGCCAACCTACTGCTTCTCAGCCACATCATAAGATAACTGCAATGTACATTCAACATGTACATCTTAAATTGAAAACGATTACGGTGAGAGTAGAGGTTATAATAAATTCAAATAAATATTTTATTTCCTACAGACAAAATTGGTGCTAGACGCCAGTTTTTTTTAGAGGAATTCATTTTATTGTAGAAAGGTTGTAGTACTCAAAATTATTGCATAAAAGTTGAATGCTAATCTTTTGTGAGGCTTCGTAACCGTGTTACTACATTAGCTGTTATAATACGCCATACAAATTTGGGAAAATAAGTTATGATGGATAGAATACAATAAATTTTTTAAAAAATGTATGGTCGAGTACACAATAATAGCCAGCAGTCTTGCAGAGTAAAATTAATTTTTCCCGGTCCCCTTGTCGCACATACTTTGACTTTTCAATGCCCGATAGCTAACCCATAAATTACTTAGTTAATTGACCGGCCGCCACATCGTTAGGAGGGGCCCCTCGTCTAATTTGTATTTTGCATTTAATAACTATTGTTGGGAATGTCACACGTCCTTATCGCCCTCGTTGGTTTACGGGTTTCCAATAAGAATAGATAATATAATATTAAAAGCAAACCGCGAATGCATATGACTATATTGTCAAGATCCGGCCGAGGTTTCAATTAGTAATCGCTATTTAGTTTGGGTTTTGAATTTCCTTTTGATAGTTTTTCACCATTCTACATAGATACGTTGTAATTCGAACGGAAAAAGTACCTTTTCAAAATGTCCAATCCCACAAAAAGGAATTTTGGTCACACAAAGACACTGGGAAATTAATTGACTAATTTTTTATCGTTCATAATATTTCAAGTAGGTCAAATTGAACTACAAGCATAGACAAATAGTTAAAATCTATAATTTAAAATTGTTTTTTTTTGTTGAGAAATTTGAAGTAAATTAATATCAAATGATATTTTGGACTAAAAAACTAACATGATTAAATAGTTTTAACTTTCAAAAAATGCACTTAAACATTTATAAATTTCTATACATATCTCATACCAAAACGTTCATACATACCAAACAGTATACATTTTGCTTGACTTTTAAAGTTCTTATAGAATATAATTGAGATTATTAGCGATATAGTAAACTGGTCAAGTCGGGTTGCAAATTGTACTAATTACATGGTAAGTCATACGAAGTTATTATTTTGACCTTTACGTGGTGACCTACATAATATAAACACGAGGGCTCTAGAAAAAAAAGGATGTAAGTGTAATGTAAGGGTCTAAAAATGTTAATTTAAAAATCAAATTTGAAAATGATAATCTGGGGTATAATAATAGGTTTTTGGTTCATAGAGACATTTATAACAAATAATTATTTTGACTTAATTAGAAGATATTAACGTTCAATGTCGCAGATTTGGATGTTATATTTAACCATATAATACACCTGGTCGCGTGGTAACTTCTCAGATGTTTGGTAGCAGTAAGTTATTAAGAAAAATTTAAACTCTTAATATATATAAACCTCTAAATATGTGAATACTCGACACTGACGACTACAAGTCGAGCTTGGAAGAGACAAAATTGTACCAGTACTTTTTTTAATTGTTTTTTTGTATTAACTGTTTTGTATGCGTTCATCAATTAATTATTTTATAATCAAATGCCACTGTGCGAATTTTAAATAAAAATAAAAATTGTTTATGCTATTACAATTTTAACCACTTTTGCATGTTTAGCGAAATAATGAATAATTATTTGTCCTCATGTAAACACCATTACTGTAAAATAGCTAGTACACATAAAATTAAAATAAATAATATTTCAATCATAAATTTCTCCTCTTGAGTTTGCATATAGTATTATATTACTCAATTACATACATATTTTACAAGTAGTTTACAAACAAGCTTTTAATTGCGATAATTCAATAACTAACATAGATAGTATATTTTGAGTCAAATACATTTTTAAAAACGTGCCCAAAGTATCATATTTTAATTAAATACTTTAAAATTTTAATTTAAAAATATAATTTAAAACTCTAATGCCAAGTTGCACATAAAATTGATAAGTTTAACAAACGTTTATGCAACATGCAATTTACTTTTTCCACATAGCGTTTTGAGTCATCGAATGTAGAATTATTGATTTGTTTTCATTGGAGATCTATCTAAGAGTATCATAGATACCAAAGCTACTTCCAAATTTTATTTTTAAGTTTTAATATTATACACATAATTTGGGTCAAACCCCTTAACCTCAGCTCCGAAGTTTTCTCTGTTTAAGAGATTAACAAACGTATAATACTGTAAACTTGGGATGCCAAGTGATAAAACTCGTATATTATCTCCATCCTACTGCTCACTTGACTTAAATCTAATACTATAAGTTATATCTTAAATAAGACTGCACTACACGGGTTCGGAATAATATCCTAAATACATATATTTTATAGGATTTCGCTGAATTTAAACCTGTTGTCAGAAATTCTCTAGTATGGAAATTTGTTTTTTTTAAATCGCCTCCAAAGTTTATTTATACTAATTTCAAAAACAAATATATGAATTTATATTATTTCATACTGTGTATTATTTTATACAGCAAGAAAAAAAGAATTAAAAAATCTATTTGAAATACATT